CTTTGCCATGTCGGAAACATATCTTCAAGAGTCAAGTCGCGAGATTTCTGATATTGAACAGCACGGGGTCTGGTTTTCTTGACGACGTGGAATCTATGCGACGACAGCTCGCAAACAGATTGCATCCAGAATCATGGCTTTCACAGGCTACTTACGATGTGGATCGTCGGATGACTTTGTTACACAAGCTTCGAAATCGGCATCTTCGGTGTGAACCTGAATTCCCGTCGACCTCTTCAATGAACTGTATTGTCTGCAAGCTCGAGTACAGTAACGTGACCAAACGGCTTGGACTCCAAAAAGCATGGAACATGCTGAAAGCTAGATTGTCACGTTTTGAAGCGTATAAACAGTCAACACTGCCTGAGGCTACGTTGACAGTGGCATGGAAATGTTCTTTCAGTCTTTTCCGGCAAACCTACCGGTACAACTTCGTGCCGGGGTGAGGGCTGGGTGGGCTTTTTATGTGCATGCACATAAAAAGTAGCAGCACAATGTCCAGGCTAACACTGATCAACAGCTGCTTACCGCAGTTGTATGGCTCACGAGTGCCTGAATGGCACGAAACCGGTACCCGTAGATCAGTGCCCGAAAGCGACGCTTGCGCTCCTTCCTTGAGTAGTGTGTTGGCCGGCGGGTGTAAACCACCCACCCGAAGAAGAGAATTGCTCAGGTGCCGCCCAAGGGCAGCTGGCATGCAGCCGCTCCGCTTGCACATCTGCTTTTCCGTCCAGTGACTGGCACGCAATTCTCTAAGGGGTCCACCGATGTTAACAGGATTTGCAAGGACCAAACCGGCCACAATACTCTCGGCCAAAAGCGGGTGGGTCTGCCTTGCACTCCTCGATTGTCGCTAAATTCTTGCTCTGAATGATCAACCGTGCGACAAGCAAGCAACATCAAGCCTGCCTTATACAAGTCAGTTTCCGTTTCATCGCACGTCCTCACGCACACACAAGTCACACACACACACACAAACACACACGCACAGAGACACACACGCGCGCACACACACACACACACGGAGGATAGGTTGACACGATTCATACTTTCTGGGGAAGATCTTGATGTCGATGCTTACATATCCTGAAATCGGGCGTCACCTGAATCCCTGCGCTCAGAAACTCTGTAGCAAAGCATGCACAGCGACTGTTGCTAATATGAAGCAACGCACAGCATACACGATTCAGGATGTCACAAACTGCGGTGCAGGTATAAGAGGCCTCTCTTCCCATGTCACTGGTAGCTTCGTGGGACACAGTCTCAGTGACATGCTGTGTCCCCCTGCTGCCGATTCGACGACTTCACAACAGACTCATGAACCAGTAGCTTAGTGTCAGGGTGTACACACACACACACACCACTCGCGCATGCACACAAACACACACACACACACACACACACACACACACACTCGCACAACCGTTTTCAACTGTTATCAGTTATCGAACAATCTGCCATTCTGACACCGGATGAAGTCCTCGCACGAATGCTTGACACGCCCATTTTGCCCTCCGATGTTGCCGGTGCTTGTGGTTGCCGGTGCTTGTGGCGGCATTTGGCCACTAAATGCGAAGGCTTCTCCACACATGTGGGCAGGTCATCCTTGGAAGATCCAAGGATCCTCTGGCTTCGAGAGGCTGTCTCGGACATAGGATCGTCTCTATTGACTCTATTGAATCGAGTTGTTTTGACGGTGTCAAGACGAACCGCTTGAAGCCCATTCGAACTGCTCCGGCATTGGGTCCTCCATGAAATGGCGTCAGTCGGGCGTCAGCCGATGGCTCTGACCAGAAAACCTCTGGCAATGCGGAGGCCGATAAACCGCGCATGCAAAACTGCTAGGGCCAGGGACGTGGAAAATCTAAAATCCAACGCCAACACGAGGCACGAGGCTCCAAACTTCTTGCAAATTCTTCCCACCTGAGAAGCGTGGATGCCGAGCTTTCTGGTGGGGTGCGCTCGCCTTCGCCTTGGCAGCTGAGCATTCAAGCACTCCGAAGGCTCTGCAAAAGCCGAGGCCGCGGCTGCCCTGCTGGCTCAACACCGTGGAAGGAACCTGCGGCACCCTGGCAAGCAATGCCGAATCAATGCCGCTTTGCTCAGTGACTCCTCAGTTCGACATGGCCCCTGCCGCGCCTTAACCGTCGCGGCCGATTCTCAGTGGCTCGGGTTGCCTCCATGTTCCTCGGCACACACGTGGGCTGCAGAGCATCACACGGATGAGTCACAAATGTAGCCAGGATGTACTCAGGCTCATGCACGATCATGTTTTCGCGACTGGCATCCATTGCTGTGCCTGAGCAAAATGTGTGCTGGATGGACCGGCAAGGATCAGAAAGCACGGCTGCTTGATGGAAACCGACTTTAAGTACCTTCTCTAAGCAACGTGCTGTGCATCTCAATGTGGGCTTGTCCTGCGAGGTACCTGCCATGATGCGGTGAATAAAGTCAAGCTCCTTCGACTTCGGGCTTTGGGAGACGCAAGCTGTGGAATCCTTCAACGGAGTGGCTCTACTCTTTCTTCTGCAAACTTCGAAAATCAGGTCTGCACTTCACTGCACCAGCATGCTGAAAGGCCGGATCCGTGCAGCAAGACAGCAGACGTAGCTACATAGCACATGCCACTCCGGGGTTCTGACGCCCCAAGCAGCATACAAACGGGAGACAAAATCATGGTGATGCTCGCCTCGGCTGGACACGTAACTGTACAAGAACGGGATTCTCAAAAGCTCGAAAATCAAGGATGAACAACGTGTTCAGGCAATTGAGTGCATTTCGACGATTGCGATCTGACCGTTGTAAGCTCGGTGCCCCATTGTACATCCAGCCCCGCTTATCGTCAAAAAACGGCATGCTCTTGATAATTGTAGTGTACCTGCCGATACGCATGGACAGGCACTGTGTTTGGGCTTCTGGATAATGTTCGCAACCGTTTATGCCCAAGGCACGTGATTCGTAGCTCGTTGTCTCGGGTCTCTCTGTCAACAGGTTCCACAGACACCTCTTTACGGCAAAAGCTTCGGCCCAGATCACAGCGGTGGTGAAAATCCTGAGCGCCTCTGAGCGCCCGCCCACAGACGAGAGGAGAGGCCTGGAAGACATCCGAAGCTGCTTGCAACGTCGCGGATCGGATGCAAATGCTGAGCCGCGTGCACCATGTCGAAGAACAGGCACAGCAAGCTGAGCATTGCATAAGCCTCGGGGGTCCACAGCACTGACACGAGTGAACGAAACAAACAGCTGTTGTCGAAGGAATCTAAGACCATAGCCAAGGCGTACCTGTCCACAGGCATCCAGGATTGGAGAGAATGCTGCTCAGATCTGGTACAGAACTGGGGGAAGGTGGTCAAGATGCTGCTGAGCGTGCCTGTGCATCTCTGCCATCCCATCAGTGGTCATCATGAAAGCGAGGAACAGCATCATGGCTGGCACAGGATTGGGCTGAAGGCTAAACACCGGAACGATGTGGTCAGCCGAGATGGTGTATGCCACACGTTGGCAGTGTTTCTGGAACTTGTTGGAACCTTTGCAACCGTTTTAGGCTGCCTGTCAGCATGCCGCCGACCAGATCAAAGGTGAAGAACTGTAGCAGGGCCGTGGCAGAGAGAAGTGCCTCGCTCAGAAACCAAATTTATCGTGGGCGATCACGAGACAAGGTGGCCTGAAGCGTGCTCCACCAGTACCTCTTCTCCAGCACGGCCTGCCCCGGCATGAAGCACCCAACATATCTGTTCGACTTCGAGGCCTGCATGCCTGCGGGGGTGGACCCTGGGTCACAGGTACCGAGACGTCCTCTAGGAACATCATGGCCGTGTTGAAACCTGGCACGCGCAAGCGAAGAGAGGCCCCATGCGGGTCGCGTGTGCTAGGTGAGAGTTTCAGTCCGTAGGTCAGCGGCGGGGCGTAGAGCAGGCTCAGCCCACGCCATACGCGGTTCGCTGTCCATGGGATCTGCGGTTTGCAGGCACTATAGAAGCAGCTGTTGCCACCGCATTCCACGCCACGGAGGCCTCTCAGAAGAGAACGGGCGGAGGGTTTCGCCCGCTGGACATACCAGAGCCGAAAGTAGCAAAGTTCCTTGAGGCTGCGTTAGTGTACCATTGCCTGTCAGTGTCAATAAGCAGCTTGATACACCCTGCAAAGCACTTTTCTCCTGCACCCTGCATCCAGTAATGCTTCCCCCTGCAAGCCTATGGCTCTACAGAGGGCAGCATGTGATGCACAGGAACTGCACTTTTCGAGGGCAAGCTCGATAAGAATCGGGCTTGTCTGGCTGGGCTTATCCGGCCGAGATAGCTTTGGCGCATACCCGAAGAAGTGGCTCCTGTCCTGCGGCGACCAATCTCATGACTCATGACTAAGGTGGAAAGAAGCTGACGGAAGATATCGCCTGGCTGATCAGCTGATCAGTGGTGTCTGACGAGGTAGGGCATCTCCTGGCCATGAAGCTTCGTGTAGACTTCACCCAGATGCCCCATACTGCCCCAGTTCAAATGCGGCTGAGGGCACGGGAGAGATCGAGCCCGTGGTGGAGGCTGACAGGCGGTTGTCGTACCTTGTCTCCGTAGCTCTGGTAGGCTTTTCGCTTTGATAAGTTGACAAGACTGTAGAGTTTAGGATCCAGCATTTTGGGCTGTAGGAAATAGACGTGGAAGCTTCGTAGCTTCGTAGCTTGGCAGACACTCCCACTCGTTCAAGCACGAAGATGCGTTGCGTGGCGCTCTATACAGTTGCTTCTTTCAAGTCGCACTGCGCCTGTAAACTGACAGCATGACATCTTAAAGTCTTAAACTCTAAGACTAAGCCCTAAGCCACTGAGAAAAAACTCCAAAGCTTAGACCTAAACCGTCTTTGGGTGTGAGATCGGAGGCTTTGGACACTGAGCCCCCAAAAAAGTGCTGTGCCCGAAGCCGCAAAACCCACAACACAAAAACCCCATCACCCGAAAGCCCAGGAGCTCATCATCCTCACGCCTAAGCCAAACTCGGTCCCGACCATCATGACCTAACTTCAGTAAGCCAGGGTCGAAAGTTTGGGAAGCCAAAAAGACCCCTGGTTAGCCCTAGTTTTGACGACTTGTTATAGGTAGCTACGGCCCTGATTGTATCATATCCACTGAACGATACTGCACTGCAGGCCCAGAAGCTGAATCCGCTGTGCATTTCGCCAATCAGCTCCTGGGCTGGTGTTGGGGATCGGGGATCGGGAGATCTTCCGGTCCGACACTCCAACCCCGACGAGGGTCGCTTCAGCTCCGTCGACCACTTTGGGTCCACCGCTTTCCTCAGCACGGAGATTTGGACATCTGGTCCCCTGCGGGGGTGGGTAAGTGTGATGAGTGTCCGGTGAAGAGAACTTTGGCTACTAGCTGGCACTGGCCTTACGAACTGTAAAACGTCCTTGCTCTTAAGTGCGAGTGGGTGAGAAGCTGCCGCAGATGCGAAGGGCCTTCATGGCATTAAGAGTTGACTTCCGCACTCTGAAACTCTGAACTCCTCACTTTTCAAGTCTTCTCAGCCTGCAGGGGGCGCTGAGGCTGCTCGCTCATGCTCGCACGGCCGCTGGTTTGTGATGGCATCCAAGGCTCTGAACCGGGATGCTGCATTGGGCCATGTATGTCGTGGTCCTGAGGTGTCATAGTCTGCCATGCATTGCCCTGAAGCTGAATTGCTTGGTACGCAAGACGACGAGGCCAAAGAGAGACAGACAAACGTTGGTCCACCTAACGAATCATGAGTCATCCAAGCTTCAGTTGGGACGGCATACCTCAAGCCACGGACAGTCGTCGATACATCTCTCAGCAAAAAGCGCTTTCTATGGATCTAGCCTGTACTTCCGGAGCGAGTATTTATTTTGTCTATTTTTCTGGTTTTTTTTGTATATTTTCCTGGTTTTAGTTCTGTTTTCCTTGGTTTTCTGAATCTAGCCTGGTGGCCGTGACCGTTCTCCACCTCTGACTGGAGTTCTTTTTTGTGTATTTTTCTGGTTTTTTTTGTATATTTTCCTGGTTTTAGTTATGCTTTCCTTGGTTTTCGGAATCTAGCCTGGTGGCCGTGACCGTTCTCCACCTCTGACTGGAATTCTTCCCTGCGTATTTTTTCTGGATTTTTGTGGATTTTTCGGTTTCAAAGCTTCCCAAACTTCTTCGCTCGTCTCGCGGCAGCTGCTGGACTGTCAGAAGCTCCTGCCACAATGCTGCAGTGTCTCTCACACTTCTTTTTTGCCCCGCGCGCTTATAGCATCCGCGAAGCTTCTGGATTGAAACTCTAAGACTCTGCGGTTGCGGTCTGGGTGGAGAGACGCCTGCTTGGTTTTTCGTAGGGAAAACACTGTTTTCCTACGGCTTCCGTGTCGTTTCCTTAGGTTTTCAGCAGGAAAACATACGTTACCTTGGTTGTTCCTCGGGAAAATCGGTTTTTCCGTGCATTGTCGCATTTTGTACGGATTTCGTGGTGTTGTTGTTGATACTGCTGGTGTTGATGATGTTGTTGATGTTGTTGTCGTTGTAGTTGTAGCTGTAGTAGTCGTGGTAGTGGTAGTTGCAGTAGTTGTAGTAGTCGTAGTAGCAGCAGTAATAGTAATAGTAATAGTAATAGTAATAGAATAGGAATAGGAATAGGAATAGGAATAGGAATAGGAATAGGGATAGTAATAGTAATAGTAATAGTAATAGCAATAGTAATAGTAATAGTAATAGTAATAGTAATAGTAATAGTAATAGTAATAGTAATAGTAATAGTAATAGTAATAGTAATAGTAATAGTAATAAAGTAATAGTAATAGTAATAGTAATAGTAATATAGTAATAGTAATAGTAATAGTAATAGTAATAGTATTAGTAATAGTAATAGCAATAGTAATAGTAATAGTAATAGTAATAGTAATAGTAATAGTAATAATAGTAGTAGTAGTAGTAGTAGTTGTTGTTGTTGTTGTTGATGTTGTTGTTGTTGTTGTGCTTGTTGGTGGTGGTGGTGCTGGTGCTGGTGTTGGTGCTGTTGTTGCATTTTGCTGCTGGTGGTGTCGTTGTTGTTGCTGTTCTTCCTGTTGTTCTCGTTGTGGTTGCATGCCTTTTTGTGTTATTTGTTACTGGTGTTGCTACTGCTCTTGGTGTTCATGTTGTTGTTGCTGCTGGGTGGAGTCTTTTTCTTTAAGGTTTGGCGGCCAGGTTATGTTTAAAAGGTTTGGCGGGATATGGGTTCGTTTGTGCGTCAAGCTATTGGGGGATTCTAGTTTTCAGGGTTTGTTTGTGCGTCAAGCTGTCGCGGGAGTGTAGTTTGTTCAGGGTTTGCTTGTGCGTCAAGCTACTGGGAGATTCCAGTGTTCGAGCTTGTTTTCCTGCGTCAAGCTATTGGGGAATTCCGGCTCGCGGCCTCCCCCATTAGCAATCATGATGCTCGCATGGTTGGTCAAAAAACGCGTATGTGCTGTCAAGCAAGCATGCCACTCTCGCACGCCCGGCGCATGCTTCCCAATTGCAATCACACTTTTCACAAGGTGAAGGGTGCTGCTTCTAAGTAAAAGATTCATCCTAGGTCCTAGGATATCCTAGGCATCGACTGCTATGCTGTCATGCAATCACGGCTTATAGCAGCCGGGGGGGTTGGGGGGGGGCAACCCCTTCCAGTTGCAATCACGATCCTCGTATGGCTGGTTTACCGCAAATCGCATGCGGCCGGGGGGGTTTAAGGGCGGCAATCAAGATGCTCGCATGGTTGGTTTTAAACAAGAATATCTGCTGTCAAGCAAAGCTGCGGTCACGCGAGCTTGCACATGGTTTAAAGCAGTGGGGGGGTTGGGGGGGCGCAGCCCCCCGATTTGCAAGGATGATGCTCGCGTGGTTGGTAAAAACATGCGTATGTGCTGTCACGACTCCTATGCTGTCATGCAACCTGGCACACAGCTTACACAGCGGGGGGGTTGGGGGGGGCGCAGCCCCCCCCATTTGCAATCACGATGCTCGCATGTCTGGTTTACAACAAAATCTATGCGGCGGGGCGGTTTAAGGGGGGCAGTTCATGAGGATGCTCGCATGGTGGGGTTTTCAACAAAACGCATATATGCTGTCAAGCAAGCTCGGCACTCTCGCACGCCCGGGGCAGGCTTTCCATTTGCAAAGAGACTCTTTGCATGGTGAATGGCATTGTTTCAAGAAGACTTACATTTTATGCAGGGTGGGTTTCCAGGACGACGTCTATGCTGTCAAGCAAGCTTGCACACAGCTCAAAACAGCGGGGTCTCTGGTCTTTGCTTCTTGCTGTCTAATTATCCTGTTTTCGTTCTTGGGTTCTTTCTTTGCTCCGTTCTTTCTAACACTCCCTCTGGTCGTCCTTGCTGGCTTTCTGTCTTTCGATATTCATTTCTTCTGTTCTGTCTCTCTGTCTTTGCTGCGTTCTTATTTCCTTGCTTCTGTCTGTCCTTCTGTCCTTCCTTCCTTTCGCATGGTTGGTCAAAAAACGCGTATGTGCTGTCAAGCAAGCATGCCACTCTCGCACGCCCGGCGCATGCTTCCCAATTGCAATCACACTTTTCACAAGGTGAAGGGTGCTGCTTCTAAGTAAAAGATTCATCCTAGGATATCCTAGGCATCGACTGCTATGCTGTCATGCAATCACGGCTTATAGCAGCCGGGGGGGTTGGGGGGGGCAACCCCTTCCAGTTGCAATCACGATCCTCGTATGGCTGGTTTACCGCAAATCGCATGCGGCTGGGGGGGTTTAAGGGCGGCAATCAAGATGCTCGCATGGTTGGTTTTAAACAAGAATATCTGCTGTCAAGCAAAGCTGCGGTCACGCGAGCTTGCACATGGTTTAAAGCAGTGGGGGGGTTGGGGGGTTGCAGCCCCCCCGATTTGCAAGGATGATGCTCGCGTGGTTGGTAAAAACATGCGTATGTGCTGTCACGACTCCTATGCTGTCATGCAACCTGGCACACGGCTTACACAGCGGGGGGGTTGGGGGGGGCGCAGCCCCCCCCATTTGCAATCACGATGCTCGCATGTCTGGTTTACAACAAAATCTATGCGGCGGGGCGGTATCAGGGGGGCAGTTCATGAGGATGCTCGCATGGTGGGGTTTTCAACAAAACGCATATATGCTGTCAAGCAAGCTCGGCACTCTCGCACGCCCGGGGCAGGCTTTCCATTTGCAAAGAGACTCTTTGCATGGTGAATGGCATTGTTTCAAGAAGACTTACATTTTATGCAGGGTGGGTTTCCAGAACGACGTCTATGCTGTCAAGCAAGCTTGCACACAGCTCAAAACAGCGGGGTCTCTGGTCTTTGCTTCTTGCTGTCTAATTATCCTGCTTTCGTTCTTGGGTTCTTTCTTTGCTCCGTTCTTTCTAACACTCCTTCTGGTCGTCCTTGCTGGCTTTCTGTCTTTCGATATTCATTTCTTCTGTTCTGTCTCTCTGTCTTTGCTGCGTTCTTATTTCCTTGCTTCTGTCTGTCCTTCTGTCCTTCCTTCCTTTCTTTCTTTCTCCCCATTCTGGTGTGTTGCTTTCTTGCCTTCTTCCTTTGTTCCCGTCTTCGTTCTTTCTTTCTTTCTGTCGTCCTTCTTTCCTTCCTTCCTGTCTTTCTGTCCTTCGTCCTTTCTTTCTTTCTCCTCTTCCTGGTGTCTTCCTTTCTTGCTTTCTTTGTTTGTTTCTTAGCTCCTTTCTTTCTTTCTGGCTTCCGTTTCTCTCCTTCTTTCTTTCGTTTGCGTTCAACCGAAAACCAGAAAAATAGACAGAAAAAAACAGAAAAATTGACAAAAAAAATACGGTACCCTGTACTTCCGTGAATCAGCCCAGAAGCCCATGTTCAAAGCCGACCTGCGAAGGTGCGGCGCATAGTCGGGCAGAGCCTGCACTCGCGAGCCGGCCGAACAGCCGGGAACAGCCGAAGAGTGAGTGCCGATTGCTCGTGATCACGCTGAGCCTCTTCGCCCCCACCCCCGGATCCCCCGGCCTTGCTTCGCTGTCTCGGATGCGAGCCGTTCGGACGTGCCTGCACGAGCACGAAGCACAACACAGAGAGGCTGAGGCAGCGCAGCGCAAGATCTTCACAGCAAAAGGCAAAGCAGATCTAAAGCATCGTGCCAGGCCGTCAGGCCTCACCAGCAGGGTTCAGTGAAGGAAGCGATGAAGAGGTCTTCAAGGTGCTTGGGATCTGCAGCAACACGGCGCAGCAACGCACAGACCATGACACTTTCAACCTACTGCAGCGCCTCCAGGATCAAACTCCTGCGATCCTTGGTGCGCAGCTCGTCAACGTGCTTCACCTCGACTGGATAAGGACCAAGCGCCCAGGCCAAATATGCATCACACATTCCCCTGCTCTTTGTTGTCCCGTTCTGGCACTAAGTGTTCGGCACCAAGATGGCTGTCAACAAGAGGCCTTACGAGGGGCTCGTGTAGCAAATTTCGAGCTCCTGTCTCTGGAAGAGAAGCTTAAACACGCGGGCAAGAGGCGACCAGATGATGAAGGGTTCGTCAGTGGAGTCTTGCGGCATTGCCACGGCTGCATGTCCTCCAGGGGTTGAAAGCTTCAGCCATAGTCACAGCCCTATCTCCTTGTCAGGAATCAGGAACATTCGAAGCACTGGAGTTTGTGTCCCGCACACTTTGCGTCCATTTAGCTGCTGCGATGAATCAGTTGCCTCTAAGCTCACGATCTCGACTTGGACACAGACACCAGTCGTCGAAGGCTACAGCCCCCTTAGTGAAACCTGAACAGTGAGCATGGTCCTCCGTCCGCGGCCCAAGACGAGGGCGGTCGGGGACCGGGGGTGGGGGTTGCAGCTCGACGGCCCGTGAGGCCAAGGGCTTTCTCGCTGAGAGCATCCTCGCAAAACGTGAGATGAAGCGCCTGCAGCTCTCCTCTTCTCGCGCAGCTCATCGCTTCTGCGCCGCCCTGCGTTCTGCCATGTTACGATTGCCGCAAGCTGCTCGGAGCGGTCGCCGAGTCGGCTCAGCGTCTGCACCAGGCCCCGGCGCATCTCCTGAGCAACAGCCGGGGACGCTTGAGTCCGGCTTTTAGAGTTGGCATCAACTCTCCGGATTCCAGTTTTCCAGGTGTCCGTCTCCGTAGAGTTTCCATTCCAAATTCCAGACACCAAGTTTCCGGTGCACCCTGCACCGCAGGGTCGGATGTTCTGCTAGTCAGCCGCCAGTCATATCAGTATATATCAGTATTAGTATTAGACGTCCTTGTCATCCACCAGGACTTGCGCTGCGGCATCTGCCAGAGCATGCGCAGCTACCGCAGAGTCCATTGCTATGACTGGAGTCTATCCCTGTAGCAGCTGATCGCGAGCTATGCTCCTGCTGTTTGGGTCAACCTATCGTGCCATCAACGATATTACACAGCAGCTCTGTTGCAAGTTGTGTAGCCTGAGCCTGGTAGATCTTGCCCGCCATGAACGTGCTCTGCGCAACATGACATGAGAGAGTGACAGAGCAGCTTGCTCAAGAAACGAGCGTCATGTCTCTCTGGTTTTTGTCGTCTTGCACAGGCATAGACGCAACACAGCGAGGTGCGTTCGTGAGAACGGTGCTCAGGGCACAGCGGAGCACACATTCGGCAACGTCGGCCCTGCGTAAAACCAGGTCGCATTTGGAGCGGTGTGCCTGACACCCCTGTCTTAGAGCCGGTGACTTGCAAGGTGTCGATAAGAGAATGGTCTTGGCTCCACATGAGAAGCATCTGGAATGTCTTCCGGGCACTCCGCTCTTCCTTCGGCCGATGCAAAATACGTGCACAGAATTTGCTTTTGACGTGTTGGGGACGTACAACGATCCCTGTCACTTTACGCGTACATGAAGCGACATCCGTCGATGCGTGAAACTTGTCGCTCACCTCCAGGAATCGGGCCTGCAACTAACTAGTGCTACAAAAATTTTCCAGTTCTGGTTAGTGGTTGTACCTCTCTGCGTTTGATATTCTACACATCTTCACACTGACTATACTATACCCTGAGCAAGCACAGGTCAACCTCTTCTTGGAGCCTGGTACCAGTACGCTTCACTGTCATTCACCCGAAATTCACGTACACACTTTGGCTGTGCCACGGAACAAACGCTGCGTTGGAACTGCCTAGGCGCTCAGTGATTTGAGCTAAGCAGGCATACGTCTTATTCTTGAGTGGCACAACCTGATAGAAGCGCACCACACACACCAACTGTTCATCGCAGACTTTGGCAGGTGACACAATTCTGTACGGTCTGGAGAGGATTGGAACTCTCCCCCTGACATCATCTGACACACTGGTAAACCTGGTAAATGAACTGAAGATGTCAGTTGAGAGAGGGCCGCCTCGGTGACCGAGGGTCGAACGAACAGGCACTGTCCCTACAGACCAACACGAAACGGAAGCGGAAGAGTTGGATGGGAATGGTACCTTGCGGGAAGAAGCATCATCTGTGATGCGAGGGCTTATCGAAACGCCCTTCTTAATTCAGCCCTCTTTCCGAATGACGATGGACGATGGGTAATGATGGACATGCATAGCCGTCCTCAGCCTTGTCTAGAATGCCACAATTTAGTGCGGTATGCAAAGCCTCGAAGGAAACATCTGTGGTGAAGTCGGACAACTGTGCCGTTGGGCCCTCGTGCTTGGATGAAGCCTGCTTGTTGGCTTCTAGTGAAACAGCTCGAAGCTCAAAGGAACCCAAGCAACCGGCTGCGATGCGAGTGATCGCAATAGAAAAAACGAGACACCAGCCTGCAGAGCGGCAGCGAGCGTTGGCGAAAGGTGCGAAACAGAGCCTGATGCGTATTTAATTCATTCGTAAGCCGTTGAGCGGCCGATGTTGCTCCCATGGCCAGCGATGCTTCAGGAGCATGGACAGCTTTCGCAGTCGTATGCTTTGATTGCAAAGCATGCCAATTGCAGGTGACCTGCCTGCGCGAAGACTTGGAGACTCTGCAAGGGAAAGTAACTCAGCAGAGGCATAGGGCCTAGGGCATAGGGCCATAGGGTTTTTCGTCCAGCAGGATGGGTGGAGCCGCTTGTGGCAAGGCAGAGTCTCTCGTCCGGCAGGCAGTCGTACCGAATTCCGCCTACATCTGCGCAGGCCTGAGCCTGGCCCTGGCGCATCAAGAGCCGAGCCTCGAGGGACGGGAGTGAGAGTTCCGAACTACAACCCCCGGAGCACCTTTTGAAGCCAAGACTGGCAAGTTGCTTTAACGATCCGCCCTCCGTGACCGCGAAATCCACAAAAAAAGCCGAGGCCGAGGCAGCTCCTGCGCCCTCTGCTTGTAGAAGTCCCGCCAGTCCGACACAGTCGTCAACTCCCGGGCCTCTTCTTCCGAAATCCGGAAGACAAGGGAAAGGCTCCTAATTATGTGTTCTTTGCCGGGCGGATCACTGGCTACCCTTCTGGCACAAGACCAAACTTGCCTTGCCATCCTTCTTGTCCTTCTTCTCAACCAGAGCGGGCCTTGGATGAAACTGGGCAAAATCAACCCGCCAGGACAATGGAAGGGTTTGCACGAGAACACAGGGCCTGGCAACTGTGGCATGGAGTTGCTCGGCTTGGAGAACATGGACTGCCTTGCGCTGGGGTGATGCCCTAGCCCTGGTTATCAGGCCGAGAGCTAGGCTATCACCTTGCGGTGTAAATGTCTTGAAGAGAATGACCAGAAATGAAGGCCGTGTTGGCTCTTGGACCAGGAACTTACGAGCTGGGCCTCGTCTCGCCAGGCTTAGGGCTGGGAGCCTCAGGCAGAGATCGGAAAGCTCAGCTGGCTCGCGGCACTCCCTTCAGCGTTCGCTCAACTCCATGCAGTCGAGACTCAGCGGCCGGAAGCATGCCGGTGGACCCCGACTTGGAGAACTGGCAAAGGGTGCTGCAGTCAAGCTGTCATGCCAGTAACCTTGTACAAAGTGAATCTTGCCGATATGTGGTTCACGGGCTTGTTGATCTCAGGAACCATCGTTGTTCTTCACATGGTTCGACGCACCAGAAACAGACACAGCCTTCAACTAGTCTTTTCTCAAACCGCATGCTGGAGGACTCCGAAGGTTTGCGAAGATCTTGCAACTTAGGGAAAGCGTGTCGCGCCATCCGGATGGCCTTGGGCTTGGGCGCCCGTCGCCTTTCCTGGGTCCTTAGGGCACAGGATGACTGGAATCATTTTGGTGAACGATGTACCACGGTACGCTATCACAACATGGTAACAGACACACGTCTAATGCTACTGTTCAGTTCAGTCTCAATAATAACCCGGCGTTGGCTCCGGACAATACTCAGTTCAGTGCGCTAAGAACCCCACAGCCGCCAAATATCACCCGACTTCATTGTGGACGCTCGCGCGTCCCTGGCACAGTATCTGTGGCATCGCACTGCACTGACGAGAAATCGTCGGTTCCATGTGTCCACAAGCTGCGGCTGCAACATGCTGCAACCACTAGGTAGCAGATCTGGCACCTCTTCGTACCGCTCCCGACGAATGGGAGCTGTGTTCTCCTGCGAGGAGTTCACACAAAAACGGCGGCAGCGGGAGTGTCTCTGTCAGCACCACCAGGCAAAGCCACTCTGCACGTAGGAGCACTGGAGACAAACTTGACATTGCAAAGGATGTCGTGCTTGGAAACTGGAACCCTGTAGTGGTAATTGTGCAGTGAACGCCTGCTACAGTCCAAACGCATCAGCGAACCTTTCTGAACCGACCCGCCGAATGTTGCGCATCGATCGGAAGTGGAAGCAATGGAAAATATTAAGTGACACACACACACACACGCGCGCAGTCTTGACAGTGTAGAAGACGCGCGCCAACATCGTTTGCACTTGATGCCTCTGATGCGTACTGCAAACTGTGGAAACCTGTTGAAGGCCATGGACCATGCCCCCACTTGCCCTCGCTAAGTAATATCCTTGGCCGCCGGGGGGACAAGGACAGGTGCAAGGAATGCACCTCAGCAGGGCTGTCGTGCGCTTCTGTCCCACAATCTATCCATCCTGAAGTTTGAACCCCTCTGGTGCGATTCTGGCTGAAGGTTGTGGTGTTTTTGGCTCCAACCCGCAATTCAATCATCGTCTCTGCCAAGAAGGGAAACGAAGGGCCTGACACTACGTCAGGGAGATTGCTCCGGAGCTGTATGAAAACAGATCCTGACTGCTCGGAAGTTCTGCGGGAAGTTATGCAGTTAGAATCAAGCCTGCTCTGACCTCTCGGCACTGAGGGGGGCACGACAGCCATGTTTGGCTGAAAGTATGGACTGACCTCGTTTCGACATGTTCGGAATTAAGAGCTGCAGCTAACAAACTTGCCATCCGCTTTGCATGTTCGTGCTTGTGAAGCTCCTAAGCCTTTGCGATATGCTACCCCCACACCTATGCCCACTGCACTTGCTAGAGAATGGCGACAGCCAAAGCAAACTTGGGCGGCTGCGACAATCGCAAAGCGACTACTGCTCCGGCTGACATTCACAAGACGGGCTCGGCCACCTCGGGCCAAAAGTGACCAGTGATGGTCAGTCTGCCAGTCGAATGTGACATGCTCCATGCGCTCTCTAATTTCAGATTCCCCTGCCATGAGCTCCGTGCCCACTTCCTCGATCTCGTGGCGCAACATGGCGAGCCCCTGCATTCGTGAATGCAGCTGTCCTGTGACGCTTTCAAGCTTGAATGCCCTCGCCTGGATCGTGGCTGTGCCTTCCGGCTCCAGCTCAGCCTCACCCCCGCTTTCGCTGTCAGATGGCAGAAAACCCGATCTTCCCACGAAACATGCCGCGGAAGGCTGGTGGCAGACCAGGACCCCCGTGCCCGAGCGTCATCGATTTTTGCTCGGGGCCCTGCCACTGGTTCTAGTGGCTCTTCCTCCAGGGTGGAGACAAGGATGCCCTGGCGAGGCGACCGCACAAGGCCAAACAACACCCTGCCGGAGCACTTGCAAAGAAGCTCTCTGCTGCAGGGACTCGGCACATGGGAAACACAACGGCATGTCTCTTTTGACCATTGACTCAGAGTCAAGATGTTTGGGGGAATGCTTTCGATCTTCTTGTGTGATGTTTTTGGGTTTTGCTCTTGGTTGTCATATGCAGTGCAGGGTCCAGCCGCAGGGGAATTGCATTTGGTTCTCCTCTGCCGACACGACTTCAAGAGCAAAGTGCAAAGTCTTGGGGTATTGCACTTGTCAGGTCTGTTGTAAAGTCTGCTTTGTAAACTAGCAACTGGGAATTGCAGTTTGTCAAATCTCGATTTCCGATACGCCGGCAAGCTCTCCAGCAATTGAATTTTGTCAGGCCTCGCTTTTCTATGGTCCTCTCTCCCGGTCTCCGGCTGCAAGTTTACCAGTGTGAGTGGTGATTAAGGAATGAGCGTTCCTTGCACCGTCGCTAGGCGGTCTTTTGCATCTCCTTTGGCAAGGCCTGGGCATTTCGACATCGGCATGATGTTTGGATGTGTTTGGGCACTGGCAAACCACACGTGGCAATAAGAACCGCCGTACTCCTTGTAGCCGCAATACATTACATTTCAATTACAATTTCGAAACATTGATCTCAGCGTGTCCTGTCCACCTACCGCCCAGGTTCGCCCAGTGCCGCTCAGGACCGCCCCACAAACGCATTGGCGGGACTTGTCGAGCCATATGAACGCCGCGCTGCGAGCTGTGGGCATCGTGATATCTCGTTGTTTTTATTCTCCATTATCTATCCTTGCACTTTTCGGGTCTGCATTCCCGACTCAGCCCAGTCTTGTTCGCCATTCCTAGCTCATGGGTGCCGATTTGGATTCAGGGGAAGCCAACTCGACTAACCTTTGCAAAAAAAAAGTCCTTTGGCAGGTTCTGCCTCATAGGTGCGCACCCGGCTCTTTGGGTCCTCAGTCACTGCTCTGCGCTACGCATCTACCCGATCGCCATGTCGGGCTCGATTTCCGCTGCATGCTCCCCGCTACACTTCAGACAAGAATCATCTTCGACCAAAACGGGCTCTGAATCCTCAACATCCACCTTCGCGGAGAACGGCAAGGACTCCAATGCATGCGCATCTGCTTCAAAACCGGCGGTTGGAACTGGGGAAGTGTAATATTGAAGCCCGAGAACCCCTGAACGATTTTTATCCATGCCGCGATGAATCTTCCAGAGCCGACTGGCAGCATCATGCCGGCTGCACGTTCTGCAAGGGAAGTGCACGAGATCTGAATAAGAGGAAGTCGTCGTACTCTTTTGAGAGCTGGGGCTCCACCACCGGCGGAGCGACTGCAAGGCTTCGTACTCGTCCGTCCCTTGCTGGCTCAGTCAAAGTCTGAGCTCGACCGCGAGCTCCCACGCAACGACCTTGTCACGGATCTCGTGGCAGATGCTCACGTCATTGTCATTGCCGTCAGCTCTTCCTTGCAGATCTGCGTCGGCAGCCGCAGCGCTCTACCAGGCCTCATCGCAGAATCATGAAATGGAGCAGTGGGCCCTCGCAAGAATAGCCCATGCCAACTTTGAGGCGAGCTGCTGGAAACCCAAAAGCCCAACCTCACCGAGAGCTCGCCGAAACCTCCAGGCAGCGGAGTGAAGCTTTGGCCCTGGGCTCGTGGTGGCATTCTGCAAGCAAGGAGCTGTGACAGCTCAAGGTGGCTGCAATCTCATCTTGTACCACCTCGGGAGGGCGAGAATTGGCGAGACTGTGTTTCTGAGAACAGGCTCTCCAACTTTAATTCGACCACCTGGAGTAGCAAGCTGTCTGGTGGCTTGCCACCGTTTATGTACAAGACGTAGAGCAGCGAGTCCCAGGACCTCTGGAACCGTGCCCAGGGAGACAAGGGTGTATGCATCACGTGATGCGATCAGGTCGCTTATTGTAGAAGCTGTAAAAGCGAGGGAAGCAGCGCACCGGTCGCAGGCCTTGACTCTCGTAGAGTGCCTTGGCCTGGCGCTGGGAAGTCGGGCACGTCTCTCCACTTCCTGACGCTCAAAAGCTGCAGCCTGCTGGTTGTAGCAGGCCACATGTACCCAGATCGCCTGAACCTTTGCGACACGAGACCAGGACACAGACCAAGAGATCAAGAGATCCTGGCCGGCAGGCCCTGCCTTAGGGAGCACTGCCTTGATCCGTTTGATGGATTGCTGCAGCAAAGCCTCGCAAAAAGCTCCGTGTCAACGCAAGCATCTCCAGGCCCTGCTGCGAGCTGCTAGAACTGCTCAGTGTGTTTCAAGAGACATATTATTCGGTTAACAGTATGCACGCTTGAGCCCCTGCCAAAGACAGCTGAACAAAAAGAGTCCAAGAATATATGATCTCGAATGCACTGACGCTAGTGATGCTAGCGGTCCAGTCGGCGAGCCATCGAGATTAGACCCCGCAAAACCCCAAAAATCTCTGCGACCCTTTTTCAATGACAGGCCGAACATCCAGCCTTCGCCAGGCCATGCCCCCGAGCGCAATCCACGACGCCCAGCGTCAGAATGTAGCCTCCAAATCTAGAACTGAACCGGGCCAGTGATGCTTCGACTCATGTGCCACTGGATGGCGGCTTGCCTTCGGCTGTCTGCAATGCTCTGTCAGCATGAAACAGAGAGAACGGTGGAAGGGAAATGCTATCGGCCCCGAGTAGCCTGTGCCTTCTGAAAACCAGCGCTCGAAATGAAAACTCAGGCAGAGAAACACCAGAAATGCCCCCAGCGCTTCCGAGCCTGCGTAGCCCTCCATGCAGGACCGGACACCACCTGCGCAACATTGTCAAAACTTTGAGGGGCCTGGCGGACACGGAGACGGAGACAAGTCATCGAAACGGACACCCGACACCCGAGTGTCTCCGGGTTCATGGCTTTTAAAAGGGCATTTGCTGCACCGCTCGGAATTTCTGAAGTAAGCTGAGAACCGAATGGAGGTTGAACAGCAAGAACAACGACACGGCACAGCAAGAACAACGACACGGCAACGCATACCACCACACTCACACATAACTGAGGGTCTGCATCGTTGATCATTTCCGCTGGGCCGCAGAAGCAAATTGCAAGCTTCGTGCCACACCTTGCGTGAGGAGGGTTGGCCACCGTCCATGCCGCTCGTACATTTCAGGGCACATGGACACAAGGAGCCCTGCCCCAAACACTTGCAGGCACACAGACAGAAAGAACTATGTATGTACTAGATCCTGAAGTGCACTACGACGACCATGACGCCTGCGACCATTCGGACCACCACGACCACCTACGGAGCTCGATTGCGAAGCCTCGTCACCTCCACTGGCGGATGTTGCGGCTGGCTGGGATCCAATAATACCCCGACCATAGATGTAAAGTGAATCAATGACTGCCATGCCATAGAGACAGTCAACCACAGGCTTGACATTGTCATCGACTGGGATGGTTTTGAGCAAGTTTCTTCAGCAGCCCGAAGTCAAAGGCCCAGCTGATGCAGCATCTCAATTTGCCCGCTCCCATCTCCATCCGAACCCAGCTTGTCATCGCACGCGCAAAAAGATAGGCGCCAGGGCAGGGCGGCAACCAAACTGCTGCCAAAGCCCCCGGTCCACATGATTGAAATGCATGAAATGAACACGCGCCAGCCCCGGCAGCAATCAGAGACGCTTTTCACCCAGCCCTCCTGGTTTCTTCTTTTCCTTCCCACACAAACGGGCCAAACATGCATGCGCAGTCATTCTCTGTTTCGTTAGTTTGTGAAGAGCTATCTGGCTTGAGTGGAAAAAGGAGACGCGAGACTTCAATCAAAAGACGCTTGCTGAGACGGAAACTACTTAAGTCGTTGAACAGGTGCAACAACGAGCACAGGAACTGTGCGAGCGCAGAGGAGAGAAGACTGACACACAAGTTGCTGGATCACAAAACGCGGTCACAAGATGTCTGACCAGCCTTGCAGGACCGAGGTCATGTCGAATCTGGGCTCGGAAAAGGTCCTCACCGGATTAGGGTTGGACTAGAGTGACTAGAGCTATCGATTTCGAGCAATGTCAGGAATGATGGCTGCCTTCCCGAATATCCCTGCATGGCCCTGCATGGCCCTGCATGGCCCTGGCCCGTCGTTCGAAAGGTGGCGGCACCGAGGAGGAGGCCGCCGGCGATCGCAGCAAGGCTCTGCACCGTGCGACTCTGGAAGACCTTCAAAAACCCACTTCCCGTCTCGGACCGGACCAGAGGGCGAAGTCACAGCAAAGACCCTGCATCCCCCCAGCCTCATCATAGAAGCTCGCTGGATAAGCCACCTCGTTTCAAGCCGTCTCCAATCGGACGTGAGCTTTCATTTCCTCTGTGCCGCTTTGAGGACTCAGGCTTTGTAACAGGGGTAGGTTTTCAGATACTGGATTTGTCTCCCGTTTGGGGCTAGGTGATTCAGGACCGAGATTTTGCGGAAGCATGCGCAAAAAGGATCGCACAAGAACAACCACACCACAAAAAAACGAAAACCCATAGACACCGGGAGTGGGTTCAAATTAGGCCACGGACCGGAAACCACTCGCGGTGCAGCTGCTCTAGCTCCTTGCGGTCCTCGAGAAAGCTGACAGGTACGTGGTCCCTCTGGATCCTGAGTTTGCGTGAGGCCACTACGATCCCTTCCCCGCCTCTTTCTTCAAAGGACGGAATTGCACCGACGTCAAGCCACCAAGCCCCTCCAGTCCTCCGCTCTGCCTGGTGACGGGCGCAATGATAATTGCACAACGGTGGAAGATTCGGTGGAAACGCCGTCGGAAGTCTCCCGAACCCGAAAACAAGCGGCGAGCAAGACCCTGCGCAATCGACGAAAGAACACTGACTCGGCAGTGCAGTGCCTCAATTTCTCATGCACAGCGGCTTTCAGCGGCGGCGTGGCAGCAGCAGTCAGACATTCCGGAGGGAAGGATGGTGATGCAGAAGCCATGAGAGCGGTGCTCACAACTTGCACGAGGTAACGTGTTTTGGAACAACACTCCTTCGTGGATGTGGCATCTGCACTGATGCAACCATCTTCTGATAGAACTCATCATGGCTTGAGAACTGCGGCAGCAAGTGCAACCCTGACGCAGGCGGCATCCTGAGGCAAATTCCTGCGCATGCTCCACAGTATGCAACACGGCCTCATGGTTCAAGCCCACGAAGGAATAGCCTGAGCAACATTTCGCCAATCATGTGCCGTGATTGTCCAACCCTGCGCATCGCATGAAAGACCCATCGGCTTGTCCCGGCTTGTCTTTGCACCACCGCGCGAAGGCTGCAAAAGCCGGAGTCTGAATCCAGTAACGATTGCTGTACATTACCTACCTATACATACATACGCATGGCCTGGAGCAATCAGCATAGCGAACCAACTGTTCCCATCCAGACCAAGAGCACGTGGTCATGAACACTTTTCCTAAGACTAGCCGGAGCAGCCTGAGCATCAACCCTGGAAAGCAAAAAAGGCAGAGAAAGGCTCTCTTGCATCTACAGAAACTGGCCAACTTGCAAGTCCTGCTAGCTGCGCTGATAAGTTGGCAGCTACTTCGATGTCTATAGGGATGCATGACCTGCACATACCGCAACGCTGACCCCTTCCCCGGATCTCCACATATCGTTGCCAAAAGCAAATAATTGGCAGGCATGCGAGCAAAGCTATGAAGTCTCCGAGGGGCTAAAACGACCGTCGTCAGTGATCTGAAGCGCCGCAAACTTGTCCTTTTTTCGAGGAGCTCGCGAGCCAGAGCCAGTACTTTGATTCTTCGAGGAGCCGAGCTGGACCCTCCCTCCCCCATCCTGGAAGCGCATTGCCCGCCCGAAGAAGGGAAAAGGCGCCACATGACCTTGACAGTTGCGAGCCCAGTGGCTGACTCTTTTCGAAGATTCGCAACGAACTGGGACGGCTAACTGAAAGGACTAGTTCAACCACGCATTCGAGCCACAAGTGGTACAATCCATCTGCGGCAGAGTCAGAGGGTCCACGTGAAGAATCTGCAGCGGAGGAGCGCAGCTTCTCCTTCTCGATATCTGCGCGCAAATTCCAAAGTTCCTAGCACAGGCGCAGCCACCGAATCGCTTGCGACAAAAGCATGCACTGCACCGGGTCACGACTTCTTTTGCGAGTCTCAAATGCCCAGTATACGCAGTAGACGTATCTGAGCAGGTCCTTTCTGTTGGCAAGCTCATTGGCCCTCAAGGCAGCCTGCGGAAGCAAGACTGAAGCAGCATTCCTACGGAAAAACCTGCTGCTGAGGCAGCCGGTCTGCCTGGGACTCTGAAAATGCCAGCGTCGGAGTGCTGGCGCTGAGGGCCTCGGGGGGAAGCTGGCGAGAACAAAGAGGACTTGGGACGACCGATTCGAGGCTAAGAGCATCTAAGAGCCCTGCCAAGGATCGGCTGTGGTCAGCAGCACTACCTCATCGCTGTCAACAGTCCGAGGTCGTCACGAAGATGATACTGTAGGGACGAGTGCGCACCAGTCGGATCTCGGCACCTCGTTTTGTCTCGGCTGACGACCGGACGTCCATTCTGCCAAGCAGCGGGTCTCTGGAACACAGTGTTAAAATCCACAGAGTTCGGTTCTGGTGCTTCGTGGAATCTAGAGTCTAGAGTCTAGAGGCAAGCACCGAACCGAGCACTGCATCGGGTCCACATCATGTTGCACCACACCAACTCGAGACTCGAGAAGATTCCGCCACATTCCGTAGCGCTGCAGGGCTCTCGGCCCTTCTTGGCTTGCACTTGCCAGCAGAGTTTCTGTCCGCGGAGCGATATCGCTACGACGCAAGGCAGTCAAACCAAACGGATGCGTTTGAGAGCCTGAGGGAAACGTTGTCCGAAGATCATGAGTCCTAGTCGCGCGACATGTTGGTAAATTGACACTGATGACTTCCCTGGCCTGCCCAAAGGCACCCAGACCTTCGATTGCCTTGACATGCTTAGAACAGTTGTGCTAGGACTTCCAGTAGGAACAGGGAAGATCTGGAACCCGCTTGCAAATCGAAGGAGTACTTGGCTCAAGCAAAAGGCCGCAGAAGAACCAGACGCTTGCCTGTACAAAAGGGCCGGTCCCACACCGGACTCTTCGGCGCAACGTCGTCCGACGCGTTTTCGCCACAACGGGCTTGGAACTTGGTCTCACCTCCAACGGGGTAGAACAGTGACCTCTCACTCATCTCCTGAAAAAAGCAATCCGCCATGGTGTCAAGATGGACTTAGTGAAAGGCGCCTGACCGCCAAGGATGAGCTGTGTGACAAAATATCGCATCACGCGAGCCGGTCACTGAAGTCTAGGCAGGACATCCCTGAAAGCCTGGAGCAGCACGGGGAGTGGCCAACTAAGAGCCCTACACATGCCAGCCCGAACAAAAACCCTTGCTTCAGCCGAAACTCCCAATGCCATACTCCTCTGTTGGCCGAGCTTGTCCTGGTTAGAATTTTGCATGCAGTTAGTCGGTCTGAGCCTCAGCGGCCGAACGTAGTTCTTCCCTGTTGACCTATGTTGACCTGCTGCTGGTGCGGTGTCACCCAAACCCAAGTCTGCACGGCCGCAGCTCATGAATCTCCGACGTCGGGTCCCACGAGATGAGCGGCGCAAATAAATGTCCTCTTGGGCTTGTCAAACAAGCTCGTGTTACGAGTACATAGCAGAAGCATTGCGCCTTCTCACCTCCGAGGGTGCGAGACTGTAAAGCCACACGGTGAAACAGGTATCCCAGCCAGCCGGCAGTGACAAGAACACAAAGGCAGAGCTTCCCTCATTGGTTCGTTCCGAAGGCTCTTAAATTGGCTACGAAACAGTATGGCCCAGTATGGCTGCCGTGGTTGGCGCACCTGTCTCCACCTACAGAGAGCGTTGACCAAATCATGAACGGAAAGGACAGCTGGAAAGACACACAATTCTTGTTCCAATATGCTGTCTGTAATGTTTTTGCGCTTGGTCAGTACTCCGGCGGGTAAGGCATCTCCGCCAAAAGGCGATCATCATTTGGACGCCACTTCGTCGTCACCTGTAGCGACGGGTAGCGCAGGGAGATCCATGCGTCTTCGATGCTGGTCTGGTTACAAGACCGCGCTGCAAACAGCCATGGGTAGCAAAGCCATGAGCCTACTCTGCACCCTCCTCGCCAGCAATGAGGCCCAAATCCTGGTGTGCTGCTCTCAAATCCACACTGATGCTTGCAACATTGCAATGAGCACGCACGACGTGCTTCCCTCGGTCCTCCAAGAGACGATGGCCGTGCCTGGAGTGCAAGGCGAGGACAGGCACAGATCGAGGCCCGAAATGAATGCGAAGTCCCGTTCTCGCCTGAAGCGCTCCAGCTCCTTCCGTTGCTTCCAGAGCTCATGCCTTGGGCGCACATAGCCCGTGCGAGGGCGAGGGCAAAGGCATCATCCAGTCAAGGAGCATGGTCGTCTCCTTGTCGATCTGGCGATCTTCCAAAGAGAGGATCGCCTGACCCGAGGAAAGTTTCTCAGTTTCTGGCATGCTGTTGGCTGGAGCACAGCATTTCATTGTGCAGCTTTGCCTTCGCGACATAGCAGCCATACTGCGTGTACGCCAGCCTAAGGCTGCAAGCTGTCGGAAGTCTGCCGAAATCCGAAACCTCGAAGGAAGAAGGCGCCATGAACGCCCAGCCACTCCACAAGAGACTTCGGAGAGCCGAGCCGGGCAATCAGCCTTGGATCTTGGGTCTCAAACTCAGACTCAGCACCACGTGAGGGACTCTCCGACTAAGTGCTTCTGGCAAGCGTATGCCTGTCGTCCGCGCTGCAGTAGCAAAGGGCCTTCTCAATGAGGTAGCTGGAGTTCTTGTGTGTAGCCTTAGCATGTGCGGAATTTGCTACAACAGCATCGTGTGCCACCATGCCATCAAGCTGTCCAAGTTGCAAATTTCATCGGGTCCCCGTTCAGGGCCAGTGCAATAGTCTCCTTCAGGATGCTGTGTCTGCACCGAGTTAAGGGATTGGGATGCCATGGATGTCATGGAGTCAGCATCGTACATGAAAAGTGTTCCGGGGCTCAGATATCGCTGTGGTTCGTTCGTCTGATTGAAGAAGACGTTGTAGTTCTATGCCGTGGTTGTTCTGCACCGCGTTTGTTGAAAGCTTGGGCGAAGGGAGACAGGAAAAGAAGACCGAAAAATGGCAAAAACGACACGGGCCACCTGAAAAGCATCGTTACCAGGGCTTTTCGATTGCTGCTGCATGGACATGATGTGTGTAGGGCCCACTCGGGCATTGACACCTTCGCGAGGCAGCATCGACGTCAGCTCAAACATCCAGACCGGAAACAGCCTGACGACTGAATCTCGTGCAGAAAACACCATCGCATTAGCACCGCGACGACAACTTACTGAATTGTGGCAGTGGCATTGCTTGACATTCACGAGGACAAGTACACATCCAGCTTCATCTACGTTGTTCAACCTCTTCGAATCACCCTAATCCGAATTCCATTTAGCATTCACGGAACTCCATGCTTTTCGAGGACATGGAGGCTGCCTTGCTCATGCCCCTGACAAGCCGCCTTGCACACCCTAGCAGTTTGCGCCATGTGTCCTGTTGTGCCTTGCGCGAAGGAGCACAAAATTGGCTGAGAGGAAATGTGAACTTGCCTAGTCCAATCAACATCCTGATGACATTGACATAGCGTCAGCTTCGCCGTCACACATACTTTCATGTTGTAACATGACTGATGCTGACGTGAGGTCATTCGCATTTCGCCCGATGAGACAGTCGCAACTATTGGTGAAAGGGATGCGTATTTAGAAGGCATCAATCACAGTCTTGCAGCTAAACACGCCATGGATCCAGTCCTACACCCAACGCAAGTGTACATTTTGTAGATGCGTTTCATCTAGTTCTGTCCAAAGCAAAGTTATTCGCACTGGTGGGCAATTCCATCCAGATGCCACCTTCTCTCCTACTCCCCAACGGTCCCTAACTCAAGTCCCAGAGCTCAGCATGTTTGCTGATTCATCGGTGTTGTCTTCTGGTCGTCCCGACGTGTCTGCCGATGGTTGCTGAATCATTCAGGATCATGATTGTTGATTCCGTCAACTCCCAGGCGAGGGGTATAGTGGATGCAGCAACTAACAGTGTGTACAGGTACATCGGTACATCCAAACTGAAGTCCTTGTGCTTGTCCAGTCCATGCTCCAGTACCTGAGTACTGAATAGCTGTAAGGAGAAAGACGCATTGTCTCGATGGACATGAAGTGATACACTTCCATTCTTCAATTCGGGGCAGGTCACGGACTGGATCACATGGTGCGCGAAACTATGGCAACACCTCAGAAGGTTGCATGGCTGCAGCTCCTCTTACTGTAGGACTTCTACTGTCCATGACTAGGAATGCAGCCTGGGCACAAAGGGCCAGCTTCCTGCAGCAGCTCGTCCACGAGCTCCGAGGTGCGAGCACTCGAACCACAGAACTCCTTGGGCCCACGTTGCTATCGTTGGATGCCGTCTGGCGTGGACCGCACCCAGCGCAAGTTGCTGCCAGGAGTCCAACAAGCGACACAGGATCCGGCAAGCAAAACGATGTTTCGCAACCTTTGCAAACATGTCCCCCACTGAAAACATGACGGCGGAAAAGGCTTGTTCGAGTTCACTGGCCATCCCATGCGATGTCATTCACAAGAGGCGGTCGCACGCAAGAAATGCACAACATACCGAGGCTTTGCTGCGCAAAGCGCATCCAGGCTGCGCTGCTGCACCCTTTCTGCAGAAAAGCAGCTCGCACCACTTGGCCTTGAAGCTCTCGTGCAACAAAGTCGCTGGAGGCCCTGGGTACCCGGTTTGCATTTGGAGCTTGAACCCTCACCGCTAACACTGTAACACCTGAAGAGAGGAGGAGGCTACACTTCGACTCATGGCCACGGCTTCGTCGCATCCAAGGCACACGGAAAGCTGGGACACAATCTTTTGCACAACCTCCGAGAAGAGAGCAGATGCGGAGTTATCGCAATCCCCAAAGAGAATGAAGAGCATGGGAGAAAAACGAGACATGAAGGAAAGCAACTGGAGCAGGGAGAAAACTGATTTGTGGGGCAGCGTAGCTTCAGTCTCAGTTTCTTCCAAGCGGCATAATTGCCGTGAGGGCACATTACGGCCTCCAAGATGTGACCGTCCAGCTCCTGAGCTTGGCAGCTGCTGTGAAGAGACTGCCACACGTGCCCTCTCCTTGGCGACTTCGTAAGCATCACGTTGACCAGCCATTTCGAGAACCTGTGCCGAAGGAAACACTGACAGCTTCTGACATCTGCTCGCATTTGCTCTGGGTCCCTAGATTGGCCTGTTGGACTAGCCGGCAACCGTGAGCATCTCGCGAGAGCGACCAAACCTGAGCAGGGGTGTGCCGAGCATGGCGAGAGCTTCTCTCGAAAGGTCGAAGCGGTTAGCGCCTGTCCACGAAGGCGTCGAATGATGTCTCGGACATCTCCGCCTCATTTTCACAGTCCCGTCAGACAACAAATGTCCAGCATCGCTGTCTCGCATAATCAAGCTTCAAATATCCATGAGCTGATGCTAGAACTTGCTACAAGCAACGCTTGAACCTGGACAAAGTAGCTGATCTCATAGCCTTCCCAATATCACACCCGGCTGCGCTTCATTCTAGGTTTTTACAGCCCAGGCCCTAGGCGCCTGCCTGTCTTCTGAACACGTGCCTGACTTGTGCTAAACCTCCCCAAGCTCGTTCAGCCAAGGCGCTGCCGTTCTGTAGTTGCTCTCGGAGTTGCTCGCAGTGCTCGGGAAATATCTGGGAAGCAAAACACAAGCACCACTTGCAAGAACTGTTTGCTACATCTACGAGCATGCCTTGCATCCCCGATGATCCTTGCCTTCTAAACTTGGCAGAACTGTCAGAGGTGCGAAAATGCACCGATGTGCACCGGTGCTGCTCCTTGCAGCCCAGTTGCAGTACCGGGGAGGGCGAGGTCAGCCTCCCAGCTTGAGCTCTCCGCCATGACACCACACATGCAAGTAACGTCACATGTCGGCTTGCAGCAGAATTGTCGTTCCTTTACCCAGTCTACCGAGTCGAGAAAGTGAAACCCAAGCCGTGCTGGCAACTACTTTGTCACCAGTACGAACGTTGAACCCTTGTCAGCTCAGCTTCTGAAGCTCCTTCCCCAAAAAAAATTCGTGGCCTCGCGCTGCGCGCGCTCAGCGGCGCGCTTCCGGCGGAGGCGGCGAGCTGCGCTGGCGCTGAGGCGAGACCTTCGCGAAACTGCTCTATCGGGGCCCTCGAGGCCATTTGCCATGGGCTGATCTCCGCGCCTCTGCTCCTCTGTTCGATCCACTTCGCCTTCGTCACTGCGGTCCTTGGGCCGTCACCCTATCGGCTTCTGAACCACAAATCCGCCTCTGAAAACGCCCTCTCCGTTCGGACGAAGTTGCCGGAGGGACCTCTGTACTTCGCGGCGTCGGGAATGCTGTGCCCCCACAAGCATCTGCAGGCACCTGGCAAGCACGCTGAACCTGTCTAAGTCTGCCTGCAAAAGCACTGACACATGGAACAGGTTTCCAGGCTTCTGTCATCAGCAATCATTCAGGGATCCAACATCCACCTCCAACCGAGATGTTGGCTCTGTGACCACTTCTGTATCCGGAGGTGCCTCACGGAGATATGCCGCCACTTGCATACAGAGTCTCTGCCGGTAGAACGTTGATCAGAGATCAGAGCTGCCAACAACTTCAACAAGGAGCAGCTTTCTGAAGCGCATGAAAGGCACCGGTGGTTCGGGTGTTCTCTCTGGTGCTTTGACCGCCCTCAGCTGTCGCTCGGGCTGTGATTTCTGCCACTTCACTAGACCATGTGCAGCACAACCTCGTACACGGCATTCATCCAAACATCCAAAGTTCTCGGACTTTGCCAAGCTTCATCATTTGAAGCTGCTGATGTTGCTGCAACTCCGGAGACACCTGCTTCGGTGGTTGTCACAGAAGGACGACAGCCCGGTAAGCGGACCTGAAACTGCGCCGCTGCAGGACAAGCCTAGGCGACACAGACATCTCGGGCAGCTCATCTCTGGGGCACCCCTTGAAAGGGCCCAAAACTCGGCTCCCGACTTGAGAAGGGTTTAGGGACTGCATCTGCTGCATTGCCCATGCCCCTGGCAACCTCAGGAAATCCCAACCACTGGAACACTTGTCACCTGTTGTTACAGATGTCGGCTTCCGGCGCTGCTTTGGCACATGCAGGCTGGAAGACCGGATGTGGAGCCAGGCTCTGGTCCTGGCATTTCGGACAGGAAAATCGCGAACAACACCTCGCAAGCAGAGAGCTTTGTGCCTGGTAGAAGCCCGCCATCTGCTCCTGCGCGGGATCCGCTCCCCCAACCCGATGTGCGGAAGAACACAGAGGCAGAAGGCATCAAAGTGGCGAAACCGCTTGAATCCGCCTGGGGCTGGTAGACTTGCTGTCCCCACCAGCCAGCTTGATACCTGAATTGCACGCATGAGGGTCGACTTCACAGTTGCAAGATGGTGCAATGCGAACTGCGATGCTCTGGACTCTGGAGTAGCTCCCGTGCGACTGAGCGGCTCGGGCATCGGCGCCATCCCTGGGGACTAAAAGCTCGTTTATCAAGACTCCATGTAGCTCTCCCTGACCCTGGGCCGCCTCCGGCATCACCCTGGAGGCCGTAGTTGGGCATCAGCCGGTCCTCATGCCCACTTCCACAGCGCGTGCGAGACCGAACGGATCGCTTCCACATCCCTACTCGTTCGGCTACACTAAATCTCAGGCCAAGAATCTGCAGGCACCATAATGACCACCTGCTGCTGCTGGGGCTGCGGATGCTGCGGGTGCCACCCCTCAGAGGCAGTCGGCCGCACACTTTCTGCACCACAGGAGCACGTGCATCAAAGGATCAGGACCGGACCGGAGCATCCTGCCCTGGCCCTGGCTGTCGCATCCACATCCTCAGAGGTCGTCTGCGCATGAGACAATGAGACACCCACAGAAGCGGGAACGCCGGTGCAGCCAAGCAGCTGCTCCTGATTTGTCTCTGGCGGAGGCACCATTCTTTCCTTAATGCGAGTAACCATGCGCAGAAAAGACCGACACCCCCTCGCACATCCTCCAGACCACATGCAGCAAGGCATCGACGACTTTCTGCCGCAAAAGCTGTTCCTAACTACGCAATTCGGGAAATTGTTGTGAAGCTGGAGCCATATGGCCGAGGAAGTCGGACTCTTCAAAGCCCTGCAGTGTGCGCCCCTCTCCGCTCGACCTCGCCTCCAAGAAGCTGGACTTTGGCAGCTGGGCTAGGCTTTCAGAGAACCGCCCCTTCCCCTTCATTCTCCCCACATGAAGCCTCCCGAGCTTCACGCTACTAGGTCGCAGAAGCGTGGCAGGGCTCGGGGGTGGTGGCCAGTCCAGGCTCGCCTCATGGGGAGAAGACACGGATCGGCCAACAGGCGCCAGGCTCCAGGCTGGGGCATTGCTCGGTGCCGGGCGAGCGTCGCGCGAACGGACTTTCCCACGGACGGCGGCGGCTGCGGCTGTTGCCTCGTGGCGCAAGAACCGGATGCGCTTGCTGCACCGGCCACAAACAGGTACTTGGGACCGCACTTGGAGGTAGAGTCCTGGCTGTGTCCTGCCGGAGGCATCGCGACCATGCGTCCTGCAATGTGCCGTGTGCCGGATGCGTTGCCTGGCCTGGCTCTGCCCCCAGGGTTCCCTCGCCGTTCGACACCGACCTTCCAGAAGGATGCGATGGTCAAAGACACACGGGAGCCATTGGAGTTCTGACGCTGCAACTCAGGAGTCGGTCGTGGTCTGGGTCCACGGCATGTCTGAGACCCGGATCACTGCCGGTGACACCTGCAAATCGGAAGAATCGCCGAGATTAACGACTCGTAGGCTCAAAAACCATATCATGCCCCTGCATGCTGCAATGGCAGGCCGCAGGTTGGAACCCAGGCCGCCAGCGCTGACCGTGTCTGAGACAGTCGCTTTACTCCACCCTCTGTCTGGACTCCATCTACGATCCGCCCATGCGAGCACCGGCTTTCAGCTGTAGCCTTTCGAAGGCTGCGGCAGTGTCGCCAACTGTTGACAAAATGCCTAACTTCAGCGGACTTGGCCAACTGCCAAGTCTTCCAGGAATCGGACTTGTTTCCCTAGATGCCGTTCCTTTGAATGTTGTCGCGAGTTTTTCCAGCATCTATGAGCGTGCTTCCGGTTTTTCGTTTCTCCCGTGCCTCTCGGTCCCTGTCCTCTGCTTGCTTCGTAGATGCTGACCAAACGAAAGGAGAAAGGAGGCTGCAAAGCCCTGTCTCTGTGCCTCGCTCCGGTCATGCGCTGCTGAAGGGCGGGGCCTGGCAGTCTGCTTCAGATTTTGGACGGCCTCTGTCGCTCATGTTCTTGTGCCCTCGCCCTGCGGTGACACGGAAGACTTCACAACCTCTGCTTGAGCCTTTGCAGTGCTTACAGTCGGGACCTCCGCTCAAACCCGAAACGCCTTGCCTGCAGCTGGCTACGGCAGAATGCTGCCCTCACCCGTAAAATCCTGGCAACTGCGAGCCACGCAACGCAGGCCGGATGAATCCAGGGTCAAGGGTTTGCTGAATCTCACAGCTGCGGCATGGATTGAAGAAGCCTTGCACGAAGCGGGCTCGCGCCCTGCGTCCTGCCCTGGCAGCAGACGCGGACCATTCTCGCATCTGCCAGTCGTCAGAGGTTTCCCGCTGCATTGCGGGGTACCGGAGGGTGAAACTCGTCAGAGTTAAGGTTATTCACATCTTCCAAGCCGAATAGTTGAATAGTCGATGCTTCTCAGATGGCTTCTCACTGTAGCAGCCTCCTGCACTGTACGGTCAAGTTACTCTGTGGAATCACAAAACTGCCGAATCCAAACTCATGGCACAAACTGACAATGCCAGCAAGCTGCGGGCGTTTCGAGGAACGAAACGAAACGTTGGCAAGGATCAGGTAGAGAAAGAGACCAATCACAGGTATCGGCATTGCATTGCCCGCAAGCGTTGTCAGCTCTTTATCTGTCAAGCCTGAGCAAGACTCCATTCCGACCGCCCTTTCTGGACATACACAACACCAACATCACAATAGAGAAACGCAACTGCCAAACCGCGGGCCAGACAGCTATCTCTGTTGATGTCTTCGATGGGGAAGCCCTGCAGAGCCATCATCTCCTCGCACCGCATAGAGCGATTTCAGCAACTTACTTACAGCAAAAAATGGCTGCTATTCTCGGGCAAGTCGCTCGGCCCAGCAGCCACCTCTTCTGGCTGAAGACCCAGATCCGGCATCTTGGGCTCAGGCACGGCGTGACTGCCCATGTCGCTGTGGTCCTCCGAGCTGTACTTTTTATGTCGGAGTAAAAGCTCGAGGTTTGTAGATTCTCTGCATCCCGCATTTCCTCCTCACTCGGCAGGCACCATCGGGTCCGGCCCGGTTTGCTGTCTGTTTCCCGCTTGCGTGACCTTTTCTTAGAAATGAAGTCTTGATGGCTGTCCAAACACTTTCGAAGACCCTTACTCAAGAACCGACTCCAGTCGGTGGGGTCCACATCCTCGTCGGCACACGCCGGGGTCTGTCTCTTGCGGGATTCTGCTTTGTCGTATTCATCGTTCAGTTCTTCCTCGACTTTGCAGACCGCCTCGTGAGAATCCTCCAGCATGAAGGTCGGGACTCCAACACCGGCATCGTTGGCATCTTTTTTCAGCTTGTTCATGTGAAATCTCCAATGGCGGAGAGGTTTCTCCAATTCGGCACGTCGCGTGTTAATGCCGACGAAATAGACACGACCTCTGTGCTGTGGCACAAAATAGTCTTTGCTGTTAACCACCCAATGATGGACGACGTAATCGGGTATGTCCAGCAACTTTTGCTTGATGTCAGCTGTTGCAGAAGTCGTACAGCCCTTCAGGTCGGGCACAGTCTCCAATATGTACGTTGCCGGTCTGTGTGTTCGGATGTAGCCAAGCACAGCGGCATACACGCAAGTCCGGCTCGTCCATGCTGCCGCTCCCGATTTCTTGCCCCGGTGCGGGAAGCCGACGACATACATGTCCAGCCCGCCTGGAACCTCAACCTCTTTAATCGTGAAGAGGCAGCGGCCGCGATCTCCACGTTCCAACACATCGTCAAAGAGTGTCGTTGGCCCCGTGTTGTCTCTGATAAATCTCCTTGCCGGGCGTGCATTGTCGCATGAGAAAACGTGTTCAAGCTTCAACGGCCAGTTGAGCTTTTCGTTCAACCTTGGATGAACACTTCAAGTTGCCGCCACATCCGCATCCGCAAAGCCTGGACTCGACACAAGAAGCTTACAAAAGTATGCTGCTATGGCCTGGCAGCTGTTGAAGTATCGATCGGAGCGCAAACACTGGTGCCTCTGCCCCAGAGCAGTCCTGGGTGATCTTCCAGCTAACGCTTCAGATTCGTGCACTCCGCAGCAACCCGATTGAACTCTTGCCCACCCTGCGAGTCACAGCCATGCCAAAGTCCCGTCCAAGAGTCAGTGCCTAAACGAAGGGCGTCCGGTCGTCCAGCATCTTTAGCCCTTGCGCTCAGCTGTTTCTCCAACGCTGCAAACCTTGGGCGAAGGTACCAAGAAAAGAAAAAACGTGCCTACCGACAAATATTGTTCATTTGTTCAGAAAATACTTGAGAACCTACTACGAGAAGGGTTTAGGGTTTAAAGTTAGCCCCCATGGTGCAGCCCAGCCCCAGCAGCCCCAGCCCCTACCCCAGCCCCGAGCCCCCCGAGCCCCCCGAGCCCCCCCCGCCCCCAAATTCCAAAATGTGGGTTCAAAAGAGGAAACTGCTCAAAACTTTCGGTCAAAACTTTCGGTCAAAACGTTTTTGGCACCCAAACCCTTAACAATTTCTATAAACCCCTAAACCCTAAACCATAATTGAACTCTTGCCCACCCTGCGAGTCACAACCACGCCAAAGTGACGTCCAAGAGTCAGTGCCTAAACGAAGGACTTTGCTTTCATTCGCTGTAGCATTTGCCTTCGCCGACTTCAACTAACTGTTCCTCCAACTTTGCAAACCTTCGGGAACAGGTTTTGGGGATGCTGTGTGTCGTTACCAACAACTGCACACACACACACACACACACACGAAATTGTCTATACTAGTAGGGTCAAGTGGTTCGCTTCCTAGCTTGTCCTACGAAATGGAGCTGCAAAAAACAACAATAATCAGACCACAGGCAGGACTGCAACTTCAAATTGACCAAACAGAAGCTCCGAAAACAGTTGCAAACGAAAGCAAACAGAAAAACGTGGAAAACATGTCAACAAAAAAGCACGTGGTAGGCCTGAACACGGCCCCAAGGGGCAGGGCAGGGGGCCAAGAAAAAAAAATCTTTGGAAATACACTGAAAATGACACTGGAAACGGAATTTAACAAAAATCAGAAAATGTTTCAGAAACATAACAAACAGAGACCAAAATAGCAAGAAAACGTCGGCTCAAAGTCCAGAAATAAAAAAATCTCAGGAAAATCATAAACAAATTCGACCAGAAGCCAGACATCGTGCACACAGTTTGTGTAGTGGTAGCAGACTTGTTGAACTCTTGGTTGATTTGTGTTCCGTCTTTTGCAGGAAGGGAAGGAACCGAACCGCGAACTGTGAAACCGGAACCGTCAGGACCGAGCAGTAAAACCGGAACCGTCGAACCGAACCGAAATAGAAACCGAACCGAAAAAGGTTCCAATTCCCCGAGGTTAGGGGTCAGGGTTGATTTCGCGTCTCTGCTCTTCATTGCTTTTCGCTGCGTTCTCTGCTCTTCTCTTTGCGCTTCTTTCTTGCTGGTCCTTGCTTTTCTCTGTTGTTCTTTTTTGTTGTCTCGTCTTCCCTCCTCTTCTCTTTCCTCATCCTCTGATGTCCCAAAATCGCCCTAACACACTTTGTGAGGAACTTTCGCTTCTGTTGGCCTTAGGGGGGCCCCAAACCCCAAAAAATCGCCCTAAAACAATGTGTTAGGAATTTTCGGTTCTGTTCCCCAAGATCGCCCTAACACAATGCGTTAGGAATTCTCGATTCTGTTGGTCTTAGGAAGGCTCTTCTACAGGCCTTGCAGGGGCCCCAAACCCCCCAAAACCGCCCTAACACAATATGTTAGGAATTGTCGGTTCTGCTGGCCTTTAGAAGAGCCCTCCTAAGCTCCTGAGGGCTTTATTTCCGGAACCGTGGAACCGCGAACCGAACCGTCCAGAACCTTCGCTCAAAACCGAACCGCCAAACCGAACCGCACAAACAGAAACCGTAACCGAACCGAACCGTTCGTTTCCTGCTTTTGCATCCGAGACACATTGAAGTGGCCCAATTCATGCCGTGTTTGGGAAGAATGCTGCCCTCACCCGTAAAATCCTGGCAACTGCGAGCCACGCAAGGCAGGCCGGATGAATCAAGGGTCAACGGTTTGCTGAATCTCACAGCTGCGGCATGGATTGAAGAAGCGTTGCAAAGAGCAGTGCCACCTTGTGATAGCTCCACGCAGGTCTCTGCACGCAGAACTTTGATATAGTGGGGCAAAGAGAGAGCTCTTGCCCCCGTCACCTCCACTACTTCGAGCATGAATTCTGCCTGCGGTTGAGTGAGGCGGTCTAGACCTGACTCGCTAGAGTGTTTTTGCGCATCCGTGCGACGACAAGGGCAGGTCTAGAAGCCGCATCTAGAAGGCAGCTGCCTCGGGACGTTAACACGGAAACCCTGCAACCACCCAGACTTCGTGCTGGCTTCCATGCGTCACCTGCGGATTGACAGGGTTTCGGCCGGCAGTGAGGACTTCGGAAGGAAGCCGGAGGCCCCTAACAGGCAAGACTCCGGCTCCTGAAAAGGGCGTGGCCTGCTGCCTGCTTCGAAGCCGCTCATCGCCCGGCTTCAATCCACCTTGATGGACCCGTAGATGGTCCTCCGACTGCACGGGAAGGGAAAGGGCCCTGGGCTCTTCCTCTCCCCTTCACTTCGTCTCTCCGTCTCTCTGCTCTGCTCTGGGCCTCTGGGCTCTCTTCTCGCTCTCTGCTGCTCTGCTGCTCTGCTGCTCTGCTCTGGGCTCGGCCTGACGAAGAAGAAGGAGGAGATCCTGCCGGGAGCAAAGCTACCGATCGCGTGAAAAATCTCTGGCTTGTAAAACCGGGGTCTACAGCCGCAGGGAGGCACCGGCAGGGAGGCAGTCAAAGGGTCTCTTTTTTTGCTGCTTTCTTCCTCACGAACCCAGCACTGCCAGTGCCGCCGTCAAAGCCGGAGCTGCCTGGGCGAAGCCACCGAGGCCTAGGCCTCTGCACCCGGACTTCCGCTCGCTCTCGTGGCTCTCCGGGCTCTCGTGGCTCTCGTCGCCTTCGTCTGAGGTGGACGGCAGGCTGGTGGACGGACTCGAGGGAGGCTGCGAGGATGAGCTCGCCTCTGTGCTGCTGGCCACGATCGACGTCTCGGGCTCTGTGGTGCTGATGACTGTCGGAATCGATGTGTCAAGCTGGTTAGTTGAAAGTGGAGCCTCGTCCGTTGTACTGCCGACTACTGAGGATGAAGCTGCAGGACTCGACGTGCCTTGAGTAGACGAGGCAACCTGAGTAGATGAAGTTGCACCCTCGTTCTCTGTGCTGCTAACCGTTGTGGTCGATGTCGCGGCTTCACTTGCAGACGTACTCAGCACTTCTGTCGACGTCGCCGAGGTCGTGGAGTCTGCGACCGTTGCTGTGGTGTGGGTCGTGGACTCTGTCGAAGACTCCGTCGACGACTCGGTCGAAGCAGGAGCTGAGCTTGTAGTCAGATCGTCGAAAAGCGATGTGGTTCTGCTCTCCGAAATCGTCGTTTCTGCCATGACAGTGAGGGTCGTCGTCGTGATTGATGCACGCGTCTCGCTGGTCTCCACTGCATCGGTTGAAGTTGCCCGCGAAACTTGCGACGTGGAAGGCATGAATGTAGTACTGGCCTGCACAGCCGTGGTGACTGCTCCGACTGCTCCTGCCATGACAGTGAGGGATGTCGTCGTCACCGTGCGCGTCTCGCTGGTTTGCAATGCCTCGGTCGTGACAACCGAGTCTTGCTCTGATGTGGACTGCATGGCAGATGTTGTCGATGTAACATTGGCCGCGTCATGGGGTTGCACCGCCAGCTCTCTGTGATCGACACGTGACTGCAAAAGAGATGCACTTTGACTGGAACGTAGCTGCTCACATGTTCCTGAACAGCTAGCGGATACTGTGGCGGCACCCAGAATGCTTAAGAAGCAGAGGCCGATCACATCATGCATCAGCACTGCGGGGGGCTTGCCAGGCAAGCACGGGGCGGTAAAAGCTGCGAAAAGTACACTACGCCCGGGCGCTTCCCAGGCTTGGTCCGAACAGCAGAGCACCGGGCAGCCGGGCATCCGTGCAGTGGGCAAAATTGTTTGGACCAGTTCTGAACCGACTCTGTGACATGGGTTCAAACCAAATGCGGTGTCCGGCAAAAAGGAGCTCTGTCACGTGACATGGTAGAAAAGCATCAAGCGCACATGTCCAAGGTGCGGACAGGCCAATAGAACCGGTCAGCAGCCCGAAGAGGAGCGACATAATGGCCATGTATCCAAAGTACAGGAGTGTAGACACCTGGCATAGTTTCTATGGTTTTCGCATTTCTAATTTACGTCGCTGGTGTAGTGCCATACTACTGCTACTGCTGCTGTTGCTGCTACTGCAACTACTGCTGCTGCTTCTACTACTACTACTTCTTCTTCTTCTACCTGTATCTCTACCTCTAGTTCCACTTCTACTACTACTGCTATTGCTGTTGCTACGACTACTACTACTACTCCTCCTCCTCCTCCTCCTCCTCCTCCTGCTGCTGCTGCTGCTGCTGCTTCTTCTAGTTACGATCGTGGGTCAGACCTTTAAGAACTCCGACCCACCACGCAGCATTATTTACAGACCCCGGCTTTGACAGTTTGCTCACGGCACTGCTCTTCTGCAGAGTCGATCGTGTCTGCTGTCTGCTGTGACAGCAAGATGTCCATTAATGGCCATTATCTACATCTGTCAGCCGCTTGGGAACTACGGCCCCTCTCTGGGACTTTCTGAGCAGGATGGTAAACTTGTCAGATATTACCTTTTCTAGGGGAAGCCGTCTTTCCTTGTTTTGCCTGTACCATTATCTTACGTTTCGCTGTCCTTCTCTTCACACTGACATCCGCCTTTGTCTCCATGCATCGAACTCCCTAACAACAGTAATGACAATAATGAGTCTACTTCTACTTCTTCCACTTCCTGTACTTCTACTACTTCTTCTACTTCTTCAACTTCTACTTGCCCTACTTATTCTGCTTCTTCTGCTTCGTCTACTTCTTCCACTGCTTCTACTTTTACTGCTTCTACGTCTGTCCGGCGCCACCGTAAGCGATGGCTGGGATTACCACTTTGTCGATCTGTAACCGGCTGCTAAAGTACATCATGGAGTAGAGGAAGACCTCGCGCAAACGAAGCATCACGATAAAAGCTATTTCAACTGTAACTTGCTAGGCCAAAACGTGCCCTGCAAAGACCATGAACTGCTGCGAATGCTCTCGTCTTGGGGGCAGGCGTAAACAGCAGAGGAGCCACTCGCCAAAAAGGACCTCTCCAGTTTCGTCGTCGACTTTAGGGCTACGACTAGTTCCTGACCGGGCTTGATGGTCCCACATTGTTTCCAGTCTTTGCAAGCTGTTGGAATTTGTGTCATGAGTCATGAATGATGAAGTCAGACACTGTACGGAACTCGATTGGCGTTGGTGTGGCCGGTCAGCCGGGTGAAGCTGTGATTTGGGTTGCACACACGGTCTGTAGGGTACACCGCTCAGCGGCGCCAAGCTGTGTTTCATGCGGGCTTCCGGTCTTGCATTGCAAGGAAGCCAAGGGGAATCGTAAAGTGCTCCCTCTGAGAAAGAGGAGAAACTCAATAAAGCTTGAACTCGTTCGACCTGGTGACATGCACAGATAGCAACTTTCGCCGGGACCGACCAACAACCATACATGTCTGGCCTACCTAAACGAGCACTTCTGCGGTACGAAAAGTTGGACTGCTACAGACAGCGAAACCATGCAGTCACGGTCCTTGACTGCAAAACCTTTAATTCTCGGCTCTACTGACCGCAAACTCCGGAGCGTTCCAGCGTGCGAAATGGAAAAGCCAGCAACTTGTGGAAATCCTCAAAAATCATTGAAATTCGCGTGGCAAACCAAGATCAATCAACAAAAATACCATTCGCGCAGAAAACCGCACACTTGGAGCAAATGGTCGGGAAGAGTCGGGGGGATCAGTACAGAGCAATCATCAGCCCCCACACCCGCACTTGCACAAACACAAACTCCTGCCGGGAGTTTGCTGGCGAATGAGATATCCTATGTAGAAGAGCAAAGCACGCTGATTGGAGAGGTATAGCATCACACACCGGCTTTGTGAATATCTCTCTAACGGTTGCCAAAAGACCCTGCCTCCACCACCAGTTGTAGTTTTCGGCCGTTAACTGAAAGTACGTCAGCCTCGGAAATTCCAGCTGCCCAACTCCAAACATATTTTCCGCCAAACACCAAGTCTAGTAAGCCTCACACGCGATAGAGATCTCTGCACAGGTGATCAACAGAATGACAAGCACCTGCGAAGATGGAACAGCTCTCCGACCAGATATTTTGACATTTGGCCAGACACTGTAGCCTCCTCTCCTGCTTCACATCCATTGCACCAACTGTTTACATCCTTTACGTGCATCTATTCAACCTACTCGTCTTCACTTCATGGAACAGCTCCAATACCTCAGCGGAACCACACATGCGGCACTAGGTGGCACCAGGGCAAGGAAACCAAAGAGGTAGTAGAACTGATGCTGCCACAGCGACGACCTTGAATGGGACTGGCAGCAGCTTCTTCTCGCAATGTTTATGCTACCGACAAATTGGCGCATGGGACGCATGTTACTCATGCTGCTGCTTTGACACATGATGAAAAAGAGCTCCGTGAAGACGGCGCCGAAGGGCAGGATGCCGCCAATCGCACACCTGAACAACGGCAGGCAGCGACACGCCCGGAAGCCAAACTTGTGACCGATTGTACCGGGTCAGTACCAAGGTCGTAGCGTGAAGAGTGGCTGCATGAACCAGGCTTGCGCCGGAATCTGCCTCCATGGGCAACGTTCAATAACAACAGCACCTTCCCTTCCTTTGGGGACTTTGGGTGTTCCGTTGGAAAGGTCGTCAATAACATCCAATGAAGCAATGAGGGCAATTGGCAGCTTGTGCCAGTAGCAGTTGTCCCTTACGCAGATGTCCAACAGAGCTGGCAGCATGCGCAGGAGATGCAGGAGCCCCCTGGCATGGCTTCAGAGACTGCTGGGTTACTCTAGCGTCCAAGAGAGGGTTCCAGCACGGCGGTGCAGGAACCAAAATGGAACGCTCCCCACTGCACCCTGTCACGGGGAGCTCAAATCAGGGATCAGCCTCGCTGTTTTCCGGTATCTTCTACCGAGTGTAGTCTGCTTCGACCCGGGCACAGGATGGATTCAGCACGAGCGTTGGACCCAGTCTCCTTCCTCCACAAACTCGCAACATTGTGTCGCCCAGTTGGAAGATGCGCAAATGCACCAAGGATGTCCGAGGATCAGATGTAGACTGAATAGGAGCGAAAGCACAACGCATGTCCTCCATATCGGCACGAAGCCACCCATCCCGAAGAATACAGCATGATTGCCTCTGGTCCCTGAATCCTGAAATCAAAAGGAATTAGGAGGTTTTGCACGGCAATGCATCATCCCAGAAACCTGCTTGCCTTGCATCGGTCCTCCCAGCTAACAGAGTGAAGCAACCATCGTTTGTTCGCGAAGGGCCCTTGCATTTGAGTTCACGGCCCGCAGCCATGTGCTTTGAGAGCGACCAGGGGGCAGCAAAGCGGGACCCGAGAATCACTAGATTCGATGCCTTGATGATCTTGCAAGCCCTGGCCTGAGATACTTGCAGCTGCCAGGTTGAACTCAAGTGAGACGCCGAGGCTCACTGCGGCTGTGAAACGAAACTCGAGCGCTCACCCAGAATTCCCCGATGCCCGTGGGCCCTGCAAGCCTGGTTTTTCCTTTAAAGACCAGCACAGGAAACAGTCTGGGAAGAAACGGCCGAGTCCACGCGGAAGCCTGCGAGGTGCACCCATATTAGTGCTCTCCGCAGCATTTCAGGACTGGATGCGCAAGGCCGAGGCAATCCTGACGATGGTACCATGAATATCTTCATGCAGCTTTGGGCTCGCGCGCTGCGTCCTGCCCTGGCAGCAGACGCGGACCATTCTCGCATCTGCCAGTCGGCAGAGGTTTCCCGCTGCATTGCGGGGTACCGGAAGGTGAAACTCGTCAGAGTGAAGATTATTCACATCGGGCTTCGGATGTCGGAGCCGCTCGGACTCAGACAAAAGCTCTGCACTCAAAACAGTAGCTCTGGTGACCTTTTGTGATAAGAGCGGCGAAGCCTCCAAGCCGAAGAATGCATTCTTCGATGCTTCTCAGATGGAGATCTTCTTCCTGCCGAGTTCTACTTATACGGGGATGTCAGCTCCGGCCGCAAAGTTTCGCATGTCTCTTGCGCCTTGCAAGCTCTGCCCAGTACTTCTCGGGGACGCCGCTCTTCTTGAGCTCCTCGATCTTGCCTGATTCTCACACGCTTGGGCCACTCAAGACTCGAAGTCCACAATGACCGTCAGAGACTCAAACGACCGCTAACCGTCGAGGATACTGTGCGTCCATGCCCACGCACACCCACGCTATGCAGGCAAGGCACGAGCTTTGATCTTTTCTAACCTGGGCTCGCTTCTTGCGCTTGTCGTCTAGAGACAAACATTGGGACCATGCTTCCGGATGGTTGTCAGGTCCTTTTGTACGCTGTAAGGCTGCGAGGTCTCGGCACTTCCTCACCAGCCCAATTGTGCTGCAGCGCGCGGCGTTTGTATCGGCATACAGTGGTTCTCAACCATTCCGCATGTCCCCGCCCCATCTTCTCTGCCCCCATCCCTCCACCCTCTTCCAATCGGTGTGAGGATGTAGGGATGAAAGACCGTTGCGCTGTCTGCTCAGCAAGCCTTCACACCATGCCAACTATCACAAAGCTATTAAAGCAGGATTTTGTCTGTTGTAGATGTCGGCACCACCGGCATAGCAGCATAGGTATAAAGGGCATCGTGAGGGGCGGTGAAATCCCAGAAGCGCCTTCTGTTGCTCGCACGATCGCAACGCACCTCACAGCGGAGGCATAACGAAGCCCGGGGCCGGCCTGGCTTCGCTGGCTTCGCGTGCACTCTGGCGTCGCGATCCGAGGAGTGAGATGTTCACAAACATTGCGCAGGCTGTGGGGGCCCGGGCTAAAGGGCTGAGGACTGACACATGCTGAGGCAGGGGATTTGCATTTTCCGTTGCGAGCAACTTCTTGCGCTCGTTGCCGATGGATGCTCGTACGGAGTTCCCCTCTTCAAGGAAGTCACGTCGCTCCTCCACGCAGAGCAGCTACAACGATCGATGCTTGAGCTCTGGCGACGAGGCAGCTAACGTCGCCATGCAGCCAGTACATTCCCTGTGCATTGGACGGTCCTGGTAAGCTTTCTCTTCTCGTGCCGCGATCTGATGTCGAAGCTCCTGTGCGATTGTCACCGCATCGAATAGTCAATTCGCAGTAGGGTCCCGGGACTACCACTGACACAAAAGCAGACACTCAGAAAGCTTATGCAGTTTCAAACGGGAAAAGCTTTCCTGAGCGTGCTGGAGGCGCATGTGGTGCTCCTGAAAATGGGAAGGCTCGTGGCAAGACGACTACGGTTTATGTCGAAGAGCAGCTCCACCACAGCATGGGAACAGATTGCGCATTCAGGCCTCACCCTGTCGTTGCCTTTCAGCCTCCTCCTGCTGCATCTGCACCTTTCCCGCCCCCCGCATGTGGACGCAACCCGGCAGCCGGGCATGAGCAGTCGCAAGCATCTGGGCGGCCGTGGGCCGTGCGCCTCGATGATGCGCTCGAACTCGTCGCGCTCGAACTTCGCCTGCACTTTCACGGCATCGGCTCGCGGCTCGCTCGCACAATTTTCCCAGTGCTGCAGAACTGGCTTTCATATGCTTTCATGGCGCCCTTCTGACTACTACGAACTCGCATATCTCGTGCCGGAAACGTCTTAAAAGAATGTGTGGTAAGTTTGGTCGCCAAAGCGCCTGGCCTGCTCGCCCAAGCGGCGCTCCTTCTCTGCCTGCTGCTGGAAGCGCGCCTGAGGTGAGGCGTAGAACTGCTAGCGCGTCGAAACATGCTGCATCATGCTGCCCTGCGGCCTCTTTGAGATCGGCGTTCATGCGATCCTGGCATGGAGCATGGGAGCCGCACGATCAGACCAACCGACCAACCCTCTGCGAAATGCAGAGGCCATTGCCTGCTTTTGCTTCTCTGCTGATTCCTTCTGGCGTGCTGCCCTCTCAGCTGCCTCCATGGCTCCTGATAACAACACACCACACGAAGTTTGATGCATGCGCATCTTCTCAAAACTGTTCATGGCACCGAACAGCTTGACTCAGGCAACCTCCAGATGCTGTCTAGGGACTCTTTGCCCGGAGTGCATCCATTTCTGCTGCCTTGTCCTGAGCCTTCTCCTGCCTGGCATGTCCAAGGCAAGGCGGGCTTCAAGAAGCGGAACTGGCGCGACTCTGGCTCACGCTCGGGCTCCGACATTGCCCTCAGCCTGGCGGTTTCCCTCTCCTGATCGGCGGAAGTGGAAGCAGCTTCCCCGTCCCTTCAAGCATCGAAGCTCTCCCTCCTCTCATCTCCTCTCAACTCTTCTTTTGAGAGGGCTACAGGGCGGAGCCACTGCTCCGAAGGTGCAGGCTCGCCTGTCGGCTTTTTGTCTGCGTCTTTCGTTGTCGTGAGTTCCTTCGTGCATTTCTTCTATTCTGCCTTCCGTTCCCCTGCACCCCAAAGGAATGCAAATCGCACAGCATTCGACTCCACAAGTCGCGCAGGCATTTCAATCAGGCGAGTCATGCTTGTACATAGAGTCTAGCACCGGAATCCAACACTCTTTGATTGCTCTCCGCTTCGCTCCACCTTGATGGTCGACGGAGGGCTACAACACAAAGTCAAGCTGCCCCCATTGTTGGGGCACATCCACCAGACATCATTAGACTCCACAGTTCAGCGCTTTGTCGTCGCCCGGCCCGCCTTGTCGGCAGCGAGCCGGGCCTTCTCGGCCTCGAGGTCGCGCTCACGCTGCTCCTTTCAAGATTGCAGGGCAGAAGGGCAGAGGCCACCGGAAAACGAGAGGAGAGAGTCGGGGTGAGAAAGGGAAAGCATCGTGCACGTGCGCCGGACCGTCCTTGGCCTCCTGGTATTCGATGATCTTCCTAAACACAGCCGAACATGCCGTCTGCATGCGTCATGAGACTGCGAGTCTTCGCGAAGCCGAGTCGCTGCTCTTCAAGCTTCTCAGCGAGCATGCGCTCCTCGGCAGCGATGAGCAGTCTCCAGCTACCAGCAGACTGCCGGATGCTGCATGGTGTTCATCTAGAGTCTAGCAGCAGCAGATCGGTACATCGTGGCACGCCTTCATGCTCATACCCTGTCACATCAGAGAATCCACACTCTAGCGTCTGTCCATAATCCATTAGTATACCATGACTTGTTCCATCTTCGTACTTTGCGAAAGAAATGGATATCCGAGAAGGAGATCTTGGAAGGCCACCTCCTTAATCTTCATGGCGGCTCCATTGGCTTCATTGACCTGCGCGAAGCTTGTGGAATGTGCCTTGACTAGACACGCATGTCGGCATGAAGTCGTGAGCGCGATGAGCAGCTATCATGAGTCGACGCCTACCGCACGGGAGAATCCCCTGACCAATTCAAGGACCTGCCTCCTGCATGAGCCGTTCAGCCGCGAGCTTCTTCTGCTGCCTTCGAACACGCCCAGTGCAACGTCCGGAATCCAGACAGGCTCTGATCTGCAGCGAGTAGACCCAACGGGAGATTGTGCAGCCACGGCGCTGCTGCTCCACCTCTTCAGCCTTGAGGGACTCAATCTGCTTCAGTACAAAGGATCGCTCCTTCAGAAAATGCATCAGGCCGTCGTCGCGATGCAAACTGGCATGGAAAATGCAGGACATGTCGGGCCATTTGGAAGACAGGATGGTACAACACCCGCCTGGTCTCTCGACTCCTCCTCCTTCATTCGCTGTGCTTGTCGGTCCTGTCAGAGCTCGCAGGTGACTGGAAGCATTTACACTCTGGTGAGGTGGCATGCGTCCTTGATCTGCTCTATGATCACCTTGGCACCGGCCCGCTGCGACTGCATCCGCTCCTGCAGTGCTCCAGCCCTTGCAGTTCGATCAGAGCATTGCAACCAATCTTTGTGGGATGGATGGTCCCTGACTGAGCCATGAGAGGAGAAACAAGCAACGGCAGCACACAGCGTGCACTAGGTCCTGCTCTCGAACTTCATACATTTTCAGAGCCTGGCACCAGCACATGTTGACAGGGGCACATCCTTTGCAGATCCGACTGAAGCCTTGAGGCGCTCTATCTCCATCATGGCATCGAGGTGTCGCTCCTGAACATTCCAGAGACCGCTACAATGCGTTGGTTCTCATGGAAGGACCCGTAAGCGTACGGTACCATTCAAACCATAAAGCCTTCTTCCTCCCTGCTGAATCTGCCAAGCCTGTTACTGCCGTGAAAACGCCCAACAAGTGCCCGCAGGTCCTCTTCCTCCTTCTCGGCTTGAACCATGCGCCTTGGCAAAACCGCCGAGTACGTCCGGCATCGCTTTCTTGAGCGTGAGGTCGGGACAGCTTAGCTTCTTTGGATGAATGCAGCCACGGCGCTTCTCTTGAATCTGCGCATCGCGAATAGTGACTATCTTGGAATAGAGCATCATCTGGTTCATGTGCTTGACCTGTTGCATAAAAGAAGCAGCAAGCAAGATGTAAGCGGTAAGACGCTTGAGAGAAGAAATCTGCACAACGTGATGTGCGATTTTGCTTTGAGCGACTGGCGTTTAGCATTGCTTTGTGATGCTTGCCCTCTGCTTTTCTAAACTGCCTCTCAGTGCTTCGCTAATTGGTGTTGCTTTATGTGGCTTCATTCTGCCAGGCCACGTCGTCCATGTCCTCGTCCAGCATCTGCCTGAGATTTGCACATTGCGAGGAGGCTTCCTAGCTCGGGCCTGTCGTGTTTGGGTATGACCGACTTCAGTACCCTCAGCTTTGCGGCCACTTGGGAGGGCCAAACACCACTTTACTGAATTCAGCCCCGGTGCTTGGCCCGCTCCAGCACTCCACCTTTGGCTCCTCGAGCATCCTTCAAGGAGCGTCGGGGAATGGGGACTTGGACAAGTGACTGGCACCTGTCTTTGAGAAATCTTCTTCGCTCGATCGCTTGAAAATGGCCCGGGAGGAAACTGAAGTCACCGGCCTTGGCCGTCTCGGCTTGAATGGCATTTCTCTTTCGCTCCTCCTCCATTTGCCTGCAGCGTAAGCAAAGTCGCAAGTAGACTTGCTGAGACAAAGAAGTAGGTACTAGCACCTCCTGGATATACTTGCAAACAACTTTCACTTTCACGGTGAGCGAAACGCCATCCTCAGACTTTCAGAGCCCTGACGTGCCTAATCTTTTCCTTTCTCGCGATAGACTTCGCTTGACGCTCGGCCAAGGCCTAAGTCTCTCGTTTTGAGCTCCGCGAGCGTCGCATCGAAACCCCTTGGCCGTGGCCGCCGTGGCCGCCGTGGCCCGGACCTCCTCCTCGCGTTTCTTCTGCTCGATTTCCTGGTGCAATGGCTTGAGCGGACAGCCGCAGGCCCCGTGGCGCTTGCAAGCGAATACCGGAAGCCGGACAAATTCCAGAGCCACCTGCACAACTAATGCCAGGAATCCGTTAGCACTATCTGAGGGACACGTGCAATACCCTCCAAAGCACTACCTTCATCTGTTCCTACAAATCGAGCAGTCCTCTTCCTTGCTGAGGAGTTTTGCGTTCTCACCTCTGCTGCGCAAGGCGATTTCACTCCACACCCACTCGCGACAGCATCTGTAATTCCAGCGAACATGAGCTAATCAACGGCAGCAGAGAAGCGCAAGCGGTTGAGCTCAGATGCCGCGATGACAACGGCCTGCTCCTATGTTGCTGGCAGGCGCTGGTGGTGCAGTAAGCAGCGGCAAAGGCACGGAATGGATTGAATCTTCTCGCCAACTCTCGACGAGCGCTCCCAAGTAGCTCAAGGTAAATGATCCGACAATGTAATGTTAGCATGTGTTGGACCCAGTGTCCTTGGGATTGGCTTTCGCATTGTGCCTGTCCGAGCAATCATGGCTGGAGTCGAGCTATGAGAATTGCCGCCGCCCGGGCGATGTCCCAACTCCCTACCCCAACCAAGCAAGCACCAACGATCTGAACCGGCACTGGGGGATTGGACAACTATGGAATTCAATTGATCCAGCGTTTAGACGCAAAAGATGTAGGCTCAAGACTGGCCTGTCATACCTCTTTCGAACCATGACCGTGTCCTTGCCAACGATCATGACTTCCTTCCAAATTAGAGAATCTCCCACCGTACAGTCCTAGTTCTCCCAGCATAAGCTCACGCAGCGAGGTGCAGCAATTGAAGTAAACAGGGCTCAAAAAAGTGCCTGTAACAAGCAAAGTCCTTGCCATCACCTTGCTTGGGCATGGTCTTGTTGTGAGCCTCAAGACTTGTCCGCGCTTGCCGATGCTTGCTTTACAATCAGCATGCCGTTACACGCACACCCGGAGAAAACTAGTGCATGTAGCTGAGACGCATTTCCGAACAGCGTTTCGTCGATGTCGGCATTTGTGTTTAGTGTGCCTGGGTCTCAGACAGCCGAGACAAACCTTGCAGAAGGAGACCTGAAATCTTCCCTTCTTGTGCAAACCGTGTTGCGATACCGATTGGACTGGCTTTTCAAGCTGCCAATCGATTGGGCAGCTGTTGAGCCCGGCATCTTGTCAAGTCCTTAAGGCTGTGGCCAACTCTGTACTCGCTATATTCACATACAGGCAAGTTTGCGCAGCCCGCTGAACTCTGAGGAAGCATCCGAACCGCAAATGGCGCCACTTAACCTCGGATTGGAGACAATCAGCAAAGCTGTCCACTAGCTGTGCGGATCGCACTGCCACCGAACGGCTCCCTTCTCGGCTTCGCTTTGGCCCAATGAGGGGCAAAAGGGACAACGGCAAAGGACCGAGCCCAGCTTCGGACACGCATGGACTGCTAGAAGCGCCGTGTGGGAAGAAACGATTCTGCAGTTCAATCACCGATCACCTGTGCAAGCCTTGCTCTGCGAATGCGGATCTCCGCTAAAGGCCTGGCCTCGGCACGTGGTTCGTTCGCACTGGCAGCTCGATAGCCTGCGAGGGAATGGGAATCAGATGCCAAAGGCCGCCTTGCCCGAGCTGCCAGCGTGAATCACCTTTTTGCCAGCACACGGCTGAGGACGGCAAATCTGTCGTAACCGGTTCGCCTAAACCAGTCAGAAGATGCTGCAGCGGGAAAACACCAACAGGAGCGAGATTTCGAAGGTGGCATTGCAAGGCTGAGAGCCCAAATAATTTACCATAGTTTAATCAAAAGTATCACGACAAGGCTTTCCCAACCTTGCAGGGCTGTCGCAAACATACGTTCGTAAGTTCTGGTGACGGCCATCTCTGGGGCAGTTGGAGATTTGGCATCTTCTGGAATAGCACACCAAGCCATCAGGCAAAGCTCTTTGAGAAGCTCAGGTCGAAATGGAACAGACTCGGCCTCGTTCGGCAGCAGATCGTCACTTCGTGAACTTCCATGCCAAGGCTAGAACTTGTCAAGTCAAGCATTGATGTTCGGCGGTTGCCTGCAGGCACTGTCGGTGCAGAGATCTGATCCCGACCAACTTGATTCATCAAGATCCAAAGGCTGTCATCTGGCGAAGGCATCTGACCTGGCTCCTGCTTTTGTTGGACCCGTCCTGCTCGCTGCCCCACAACTGCTTCTCAGCGAAATCCCTTGTCCATTGGCCCCACTTGTACGATCTGGGTGCAGCTGAACTTCCCGGATAAGTCGACCGGCCAAGGCACAGAGCACAGAGGGGAAGATGAGATCAAGAAGCATGCCGTATGGCTCCGGCTGGCACGAGTGGTGCGAGGCCGAAAGGCATGAACGTGCTGCCGGGGTCTTCACCTGTGAAGGTGGCGGGCACATCTGCATCTTGCCGAGCCAACAGACCAAGCAACTTCACAAAGCTGAGCGGCGATCTTCAGCGCACGTTTTTCTGAAGGACCGGCTACTCCTACATGCCGACCGTGCCCAGAACACGGCTGCTCCACTGCGACAGTTGCTCCCAGAGTCGAATATGTTCCATGTCAAGAGTCGTCAGCATGCTCCTGCCGTAGGCTTCTTCAACCCCAAGTTCTGTAATTCGTCGGTAGGGACACATTCATTTTGTCGAAAATACGGTCTCCATTGATTCTCAGGACACCCTTAAAACCCAGGTTGCGAGCGACCATAATTTGCTATTGGGCCACAGTTTGCCTAGACGTCAATCGAAATAGAAAGCGAATGTACATCAGCGTTTGAGAGTCACAATCATGACATGCGAATGGGTACATTCTTGAGAGGGAGAGGAGTAGACACATTGTAACTCTGTCGCTCTCCAAGCAAAATGGCAACCGGCAGAGTCCATTGGCAGAAGAATATTCATCCTAAGGATATCAATACATGCAAAATTCTGTTTCTGCTCCCGATTGCCTCTGTACATGCTGGAAAGCAGCATGACGTCTCACAATTTCGTGAGAACTTCACCATCGGTCGTCGTCGTTAGCCACGCTGTATCCCAGCACAAAATGCACGCGACCCAGGCCGTATTCTTTCCTGAAATGCGCAAGGGGAACGTGGGTGAGGATGCATGACCAAATGACCACAGCCGGGCGTCAGGGACATCTCTGCCTCCACGACGTCCGTGCCAGGCTTTGTGGCCAGCAGATCGCGGCGCCTTTCCTGGCATGCCTCAAATGCCCAGAAAGGCCCACAACCGAACCTCTGACAACTGCAGCACCGACACAAGCAAAACTTCTTCATGGGTGCTATGTTGTGCTTGTCCCGGAGCTTGATGATATCTCGCACCGTCAAGTTCTCTTCTGGGATGAAATCCTGCTCAGGTCGCTCCAACGGGCTGGGGCGATATTGCAACTCAATCAACCATGTGAACTCACACCTCCAGCACGTTGGGCACCAAAGAACCCTCCCGCACGCTGAAAACCACCTCAACCCCGGCGTGGACCTTGGAGGCGTCGAGCTTTACACGGCGACATGTCGCGATTGCAGATTTCAATTCCAATCCGAAGCACTTCAGCTACTTCAGTCTGGGTGCCACCGGAGTCTTAGTAGTGACCTGCATAGCCTTCTTTTCAGAACGGCCGCGCGTGGACGAGAACTGAGGAGGTGCTGCCACTGTTTCGCCAAATGGCCAGGGAATTGTTGGATAGCCTCAACAAGCCAATTCGCTGTCACTTCTACCATCTGCCCTGGTCGAAAAAAAAACTTAAGGCACCTTCCAAATGCCCGGGCCCACCAAACCAGCATGCAATGCTCGCCAGTGAATGGGCCACCTGTGCATGCCAACAGTTCGCCAGCAAACACAAGAATCATCTTCGGCCTTCAGCGCCATCGTTTCCAGCTCCTGTTGCGGCACTGAGGCGACCGGGTCACCCACCAGGCCCGTGATCTCCCTCAGCAATGCCAGGACATGTCAGGACATGGAAGCACGAACGAAGGCTTAAATGATGTAGGACACAGGACTCAGGGATGGAACGTATGTTGTCCAGTCCAGCAACAGCAGGCCGCTGGTGGAGATGGCGACAGCCGTCAAGGTGCTTCCTTCCGGTGCCTCGTCGATTCTTGTAAGAGGACGACCATCAGCACTGAGGAGCCTCATGCGCACTGCATCTTGCGGGTGTGTCTGCGTGTGTGTCTGTGTGTGTGTGTGTGTGTGTGTGTGTGTGTGTGTGTGTGTGTGTGTGTGTGTGTGTGTGTGTGTGTGTGTGTGTGTGTGTGTGTGTGTTGTTGTGTGTGTGTTTTGTGTGTGTGTGTGTGTGTGTGTGTTGTTGTGTGTGTGTGTGTGTGTGTGTGTGTGTTGTTGTTGTTGTTGTTGTTGTTGTGTGTGTGTGTGTGTGTGTGTGTGTGTGTGTGTGTGTGTGTGTGTGTGTGTGTGTGTGTGTGTGTGTGTGTGTGTGTGTGTGTGTGAACCTCCCTAGCACATGGGAGCAGAGGCACTCCTTTCCGTTGGATCTGACACATTCTTGCAATACATTTTCACTTAAACACATGAAAGTTTGCAGGGGACCACCGAGGCCTCCGGGGAGCGGTGGTCAACGAAGACCTTCCCGGAAAGCCTGTGAAAACGTACCTGCTTTTGCCACCTTCATTGCACCTGGGGCGGTCGTGCCAGCTGGTGGATGAGGAGTGGAAAGACAACGAGGACGAGGACAACGACGACGAACTTTTCATATGCACACCACAAGCATACCTGCGCAACTTTCGGCAGCCCCCTGTGGTGCCAAGATTAGCTCAAGGACAGGCCCCCTGTGGTGTCCAGATTAGACAACAACATACAACATACTCTCCTCTTCTTGCTCTCTTGGCCGAATCCATCAGTGTGACCAGCGTGGGTCTTGAGACTCCAGAGCAACGGCTTTCCGTCATGGCGCCGTGGTGACCCTCCGGGGAGACCGGTGATGAACCGGGTGTTCAGCCTTCGTTCAGACTGTTCAGAATCTCCCGATGCTACTTTATCTCTCTCTCTCTGATGCCGGCATGTGAGTCTGACATGAGTGCAGGTGCAGTAATGGACGGCTAATGCAGTAAAGTGCGTCTAGTGAGCAGGTGCTACCTCGCTAGTCTGTCCTCTATTCGACCGCTTCTTTATTTCTCAGGGACTGCAAGGGCATGTGCAACTGACATGAGGGCAGGTGTGGTAACCTTCGTCTAGTGCAAGTGAAGCGGCGCTTCCTCCGGGAAGTAATCGGCGTCTCGCTTCTCTCTCCCCCTAACCCCACACCTTAAGTTGAGGACCACGCAGGACGTGGTACCTCTCGTTCCATTGCTCCTGGGTGCTTTTCTGCACAGCTGGAGGATGGTCCACCGCTCTTGGGTGTCTTTTGCTACACAGCTGGAGGGTGGAATACCCTAATCCTGCTACTGGCCTTGGACCCTGCTCGGGTAGCCGGGCAGTAGTCACTCCGTTCCTGGGTCTTTGGTGACAGCTGGAAGGAGTGTCCTCACCCTATTCTCACCACCCTAATTACAACATACAACCACATGTGCAACACATTGGTCAGAAGCTGCTAGCCCTGGACCCCTTCGAGGGTAGCTGGGTAGCAGTTTTCTCCATTAACCCTCATTACTGTTGCTTTTGGGGGCCGTCGCGCCCAGCTGAGGAACAGTCCCCGGCTGGATCTGGGCCCTTGCAAGGGCAGCTGATCAGCCTTCCTTCCCCTCTGTCGCTTCTGGGGGCTTGCGTGCCCAGCTGAAGGACAGTCCTGAACCCTAAATTTTACGCCTCGCCACATCTTGGACTACCACAACATTACTACATTCTGGACTACATCGACAAGCTTTGCAAGCGGGCATTGCAGCCCACAGGGTTTTGTGGTTTAGTTTGGGTTCGTTTAGATCTTGGAGCCCTGGCGCGGCTTTATTCCACTGCACACAGCCGCCCCAAGCTGGGGCTGTGTGTGTGTGAACCTCCCTAGCACATGGGAGCAGAGGGTCACTCCTTTCCGTTGGATCTGACACATTCTTGCAATACATTTTCACTTAAACACATGAAAGTTTGCAGGGGACCACCGAGGCCTCCGGGGAGCGGTGGTCAACGAAGACCTTCCCGGAAAGCCTGTGAAAACGTACCTGCTTTTGCCACCTTCATTGCACCTGGGGCGGTCGTGCCAGCTGGTGGATGAGGAGTGGAAAGACAACGAGGACGAGGACAACGACGACGAACTTTTCATATGCACACCACAAGCATACCTGCGCAACTTTCGGCAGCCCCCTGTGGTGCCAAGATTAGCTCAAGGACAGGCCCCCTGTGGTGTCCAGATTAGACAACAACATACAACATACTCTCCTCTTCTTGCTCTCTTGGCCGAATCCATCAGTGTGTGCACTTCTCTCGTGCATGAGATAAGGGGCTCACCACCCATCTTAGGGGACGGAGGGGTGCAGGGGATCTCCGTCCAACGAAGCTCTCCCCTGCACCCTAAAACGTACCTGCATTGCCTGCGCCTGGGCCCCGTCGTGGGCAGCTGGCGGGGCACTCATCTTCGTTCATCCTTCATCTCATTTAATGCTACGTCAATCCTTTGTGTCTGGCGTAGCAACGGGCAGAAACCTTACCCCTGACGGATCATCTCATTCCGCTTTCGTATGCCATTCCTCCGGTCTGGCGTACTTGGCACAAAACCTTTATCTCATATTTCGTTATCATTACCACTACCAACACCATCGTTTTTCATCCAGTGCAACGTAGTGCAACGTCCCTTGTGGACATACATCCGGGAGTGCAGACTACACTTCTTCAGTGCTTTGTGCAGGCAAGTGATTCGGGCCGAGGCGCCTGCATGCACTCGTGCTCATGCTGGTGGCTGTGAGCTCCCTCAACTCATCGAGGGACGACACTTCCACGCCTTCCAATAGGGTCTTCCCGCTGATCCCAACGACTGTGAAGGTACGGCGCAAAGGCTCCGCATCGGGCACTCCGGCCATGCAGCAGGCAAACATGGAATACCCGGGAATGCCCGGGAAGCCCTACTCTCACGGACAAACACGCTCGCATTAGGCCAAGCAATGCGGAAAGGCCCATACAAGACTAACACTGTCAACCCCTGACCATGATGAGACCAATGGCAGCTCTTGGCAGAAACCGCACACCTTCACGAGCACAAAGCCTGCCTCGCGCCGAAAACCAAAATAGGAGCCCAAGAAGACTAGCGGCACCTCATGCACAGAGACACAATCCGAAAAGGCGCTGTACCAGAACCAAGCACATCCTCTGCTTCGAAGTGGCTATTACATGACGGCACCAACATGCACCAGAGTTGCGAGCAGAAAGAAACATGTCAGCTATAGGCTAACAGTCCGCTGCTCGCATTGGACTTGGGCGACTGGCGGAGATGCCGAACCAAAGAACGAGAATTGCGAACATCGTCGTAAATGGGACTGCCCCTGAGACGCACGGGATCAGATCAGACACACCAAACCGCAGACATGTGAGGGATGAGAGTCCTCTTGAGCCGCCAGCCTGACGACTTCTGCCCCCAGATGAAAAGGTTGAGCACAAAGAAGACCATGAAGATAACCCTTAAAGGCCAGCAGGGTGATACTTCGTTCCAGATTCTGTCCAACTTTCGTGTTTCACATTACCCGCGCAACCCGCTTCAGAAACGGGGAAATGTTGTCCAGGGCCTTCCTGCTGTGAAGCTGCGGCATGCAAACTGGATCAGTCAAGTCGCCCAGGGTAGAGCATGGCGGTCATCAATGTGTTGGTCTTCCAATCCTCTCCATTGAAAACCTGCTCGGCAGTGTATGGCAATGATGGCAATACTTGTTGTGCCTGCTCCATCCTGCTCCACCCTTACGCATGTAAATCTGACCAGACACGTGCAATGAGGGGAGGGTCTGCAGAGCTTGAAAATCTGAAGTTTTTGGCAGCCGATATTATCGAACAAACCTACCAACACCGTAGGACCTCCGTATGAATGGCACATCTGCACACAGAAGGAAAAATTGGACCGGCCTTGTAGAGCCGTGCCTTATTGCGAGCATCACATTCACGACTCTTTCACGCATGGGGCTGAAGGCACGGGTCTGACGGTCTCAGGTCCGTGCCGAGGCATACCCACCGAACACCTCAGCTAGTTCTCGAATTCCCTGCACCTGGCGGTTTGTGTCGTTCGCCGACACGAGGTGCAGTTCAGCCACTCCCATAAAGGTGAAGAGCATCATCATCGACTGTAACAGGCCGCCCCTGCGAAGCGCAGGCAGCCC